TTAAAAATGTTCATTGATCCCGGATGGTTCAAATCATTTCATCATCAGCGAAAAAACCCGAACCAAAAAAAAAAAAAAAATCAAATGAAATATTATTTGAGTGCGAAAAAATATTCATAAGCACGATCGCAAAAAAAAGGTCAACACACGAAAATTTGTAGGATTTAATGGAATTAACCATTGTGACCAAAATGAACTTGATAGTCGATTGATCTTGTTATAAGCCATTCTTCTGTCCCATATCATTTTGATATTTTAGCTGATAACCATGACCAAATGATTTTCAAAATATTTAGCATCTTTCTTTAGGATGGATTTTATTCCATTAATATTCACTGTCATCAATAAAAAAAAATTCATATTTGAATAATTTTTTTTTGAATTGGGTTTTCATTTTCAACTTGTTTCTTGTTTTTTTTTCGGAATATTAATCATTTCCATTGGATTTTTTCCATTTTATTTTTTCCGATTTGTTTCCAAATAAAAAAAACAAACAAATGCGCATTGGTAGCCATAGCAAAAAAATAAATAGTGTCTTTCAGAATCTCTTTGAGATGAAGTGTTTTTTCTTTTTTCTCCCCTTTTCTCTATCATTCTATCTTTCTCTATCATTCATCATCATCTGTTTGATCATCATATCAAAATCATCCTACATAATCATCATTGACATATAAATGATCAACAAAATTTTTCCATTTGAAATTAGTTCCAAAGTTGTTGTTTTGACTTTTTTTGTTGACTTCTTTTCTTAATTCACAAGAAGATTCTATGCTGTTGATGATGTAATAATTTTCAAGTTACACAATCATTTCTATCATAGTTTCTATTCATCATCTCATTTTGTTATTCTTTCTTTTTTTACTTTCTTACTCTTTTAGGATAAGGAATTTGATTAAATTCGACTAAAATTTTTGTTAAAATAGGCAAAAAACAAAATGTCGTAAACCATAAGGATTTGTTGTTGTTGTTGTTGTTTTAATGAAATGTAAATTATCAAATTTATAGAAATGGAATAATTATCATTTCATGAAGAAAACTTTTTTCTCGTATAAATTATCACCATTGAACGATTTTCGAAACATTTTTTTTTTTGGTTTTGATTAATAATAAATTTTATTTAATGTTGAAAATATTTCATCAGATTGAAACTTTAAATTTTTGTGGCCACAGAGTCACCCCACAAATATATCAAATAAATTTGAAAAAAATATTGTTTTTTTTTTCCTTTTGCCAATAAATTATAAATGAAATAACTATAACGAATAACATTGAACAGAATAATTTTCGTGTTTGATCGAATGGAGTTTGTTTTTTTTTTGATTTTAATTTATTTGAAAGTTTCGATATTCTTTCTTAATATTGGTTTTTGAATCGAATTACCGCTTATGGCAATAGTATTGATAACGAATGTAATGATGAAAAAAGAAGAAATTTCCACATCAACATTTTCAACAACAACAAAAAAACCGATAAATTAATTCATCGTATCCGAAATAGTAATTATTAGTAAATATTTTTTCAGTTAACTTAGAAAATTTCAATTTAATTTCAAATTTTTTTTGCCCTTCCTTCGATCCAATTCGATTCGTTACATACACATTTAAAGTTTATTTTGAAGTTTACTCTCCAGCAATAAAAAGCTTAAGTTGAACATAATTGGTATCAAAAAAAACGAATTATTAAAAAAAATTATAATTTAAAATATCACCAACGTAAAAATTAATAAATGAACAAGATAGAAATTGAGTAATTTTTTTCTCAATAAAAATGTATTAGACATAATGTTTGTATGAATGTAATTAAAAAATGTTTTTTAAAAAATTATGAATGGTTTATATATAAAAAATGATGGAGCTTATGAATGATATGTAGATATGTTCGTTGATCATTTTGAACGTTGAAAATAATTTTTTCATTTGTAAATAAAGATAGCTGCAATAATTAATAGAATTTTGGACAATTTTTTTTTTTTTTTGGTATAGCTATTTTGTTTGAAAAATATGTTTTTGTCAAACTATGTCCTCACGATGATGGCTAGCCTGACGATGATGTTTGACCGTTGCAACGGTTGGTTGTGAACCAGTGGATTTAGAGGTTTGTGAACTATTAGGTCCATTCGGTCCAACCAATGATCCATTTATAGTTACCAATGAACTGCTGCCACCGCAAATTCTTTGCATTGTTGTATCATAATCTGGACATTGTGGCCGTCGACCAGATTGTTTGTTTGTGGAAGATGAATTGGAAGATTGCGAAACATTACCCGATGGTCCACGTCCACGTGACATAGAATATTGATCTAATCGTCGTAATGATGTTACCGATGATGATTCCACAGGTAACGATTGTTTTGGAGGTAGTGAATTCGATTGTCGACCACGACTGGATTGTCGCGTTGTGCCATTGCTATTGTTGTTCACACATGGACAGGTGGGATGCATTAGACCGGAAGTCTGTGGTGGTGGCATCATCATGATCATAGAAGGACGCATCAAATTATTTGGTGGGGGAGTGCAACATGGACAGTATAGTTGATTTGGATACAATGATGATGATGATGATCCTGAATTACAACACGGTATGGGTGCCGTTCCTCCTGTTGAGCAACACATACCATTAGGATATGGTGAATTGATCATTGCCATCGGATGTGTTGTCTTTGTATTTGAAATCGATGACGAAGTGTGAGGAGCATGAAAATTGGTCGGACCGTTTCCATAATGTTGATGCATGTTCATTAATGTTGTCGAACTATAAGGATTATGATGAGATCCCCCATAATAATAATTTGATGATGTCGATGATGATAGTGTACTATTACTACCACCACCATTATTATCCATTAGATTAGATGAAGAGCCATGCTGATATTGATGATGGCTCGATATTCTTTGGCTATTGGTATTGTTACCGCTGCTATTATACATTGAATTATTTGAAAGTTGAGAATGATGATGATGATGGTGGTGGTGGTGAAGATGAGGATTGTGACTAGCATTGTTGGTGTGATTAGATGCTGTGCTTGGATTATTATTATTATGATGATGATGATGGCCAACACTTCCACTATTTTGTCCACTGACTCCAGTTCCAGTTTGATTAGAGCTATGAGGAACAATAACAGCGCCATCCGAAAGAGCTAACAATTTTCGCAGTTGTTTGGGTGATGTTTGGCCAAATTTAGGCCGATGTGGCCTATAGAGAAGAGAATGATTATTATTTGGACCATGAGGTGTGCCATCTGAATTCATTGACAATGAATTTGAGGATGAAGAAGCAGATGATGGTGTGGGCGATGGATGCGATAGCTGTGAATTTGATGACATTGTCGATGCAATCGAAGAACGTGTCGTAGCCGCATGACTCGATGAAGTAGGTGTTTGAGGTAATTCGCAAGAATAGGATCGAGACATTAGTTCATGTTCATCCGAACTAATTGATGAAAAACTTTCGTCGAGAAATGATCTATGAATGATTGAAAATTATTTCCTAATTGTAAATTAATACAAATAATTTTTTACTTACTGAACACGCTTGGTCATACGTTGATTTTCCCATAGTTTTTTATGATCAGAAGATGATTTATTTTCCGGTGATGCTAATTGATCAGCAAATATTCGAAATAGTAGATTTGGATCTATAGGTTCATTCGTAGCAATGGTTGACTGTGCTAAATTGGATACAGATGACGCTGCCGTATTCGAACTATTCAACCCATTAATGGCAGCTAAAGCCAAAGAAGTTGTATTAGCCATTTTCTGTATTTCACGAATCTTTTCGGATAAAAGACGCATTTTTTCCCAATTCACTAATAGTGTTTCTTGATTAGACTTATTCGAATCCTGTGATGATGGTGTTTGTGGTTCGGGCGCTGAAGTGATATAAGTTTGATTGGCAAGCCAAATGAAACTTAGATCTTTTTTGACCAAAGGAAAAAATGGAATGATTATCGATGCACCTTTATCGTCACGTAATTTTTGCATCAATTGTTGACGAAAATTGTAAAAATTTCTAGATGGATCCATAAGTTGTTGTAATTTTTGCAATTGTTTTAGATGTTTTGCTGGTACTTTATCCCAACAACTTTTCAAACGAGATATAGATAAATGCATTAAACCACTAAGGATAGCAAACAATGTATTGTAATTATTCAATTTCATAGCTAATGTCGCTATTCTAATTAATTGTTTGATAGCTTTGACACGTTTTGTTATGGATCGCTTTTCACCAAGAACCTGATTGATTGTCCAGAACATTTCTTCATTGGTTTTTCGTTCGAATTCTTGCAGATCATTTGTACGATCAAAAATGATATTCGGCTCACCATTATTTTTATGATTCGAACTACTTGAATTCGGATCATTGAATGCTAAATCATATACAAATTGTTGAGCTTCAATCTTGCAAAACAGTCGAAAATCACGGGCAGTCAATTCACGAGCAATAGCATAACCTTTTAAAGTTAAAAGGGAATTGATCGATGAATCTTTGATAATCTCTTTGGCAATATCTGAATCGGTCATTGGTTCACCAACATGGCTAGAATCTTTTGGCTGTGAGACAAGTTTTAAATAAAGTCGAGAGTTTAGGCTAAGATTTGCGACCAAATCATTCGTTCCATCATTTAATCGTTTGACAACTGTTGAACTATTATTTATAGCAGCATTTTCATCACCAACAGCACAACCACTTGCATTGTTTCCATTATTGTTAAATATGACAGAATATTCATACAAAGCGAAATCACGACTGGAATAATTGTTTGAATATTTAAATTGTCGTAATGCTAATTGTATACATTCTCGAACAGTTGTAGATGAATGTATTGGTAAAAAACAGCAATCATTATGCTCGAATGAATATATTTTTATTATTTCCGGTATCTCATAAGATAATATCCGAGGATGTATTGCTGAAGAAGGACCGTTGCTATTACTATTTCCAGTATTAGAATTTGAGGACAAACTTGTTGATTGATTATGATTCGATTGATTAATATTGTTATTGTTATTCGTTGTGGATGATGAATTATTATGTAAAATATTTGTTGTTGATGATATTAACTGATTTGTCGTTGATGATACAAGGGATCGAACTTTAAGTTTCCATCCTTCTTTTTCTTTCTTTACATCTTTCATTGTTGTCAACAATGGGTTTTGATTCGAGTTTAGACTGGACAATGAAGTTGACGATGAACTACCGAATCCTGAAGATGTAGAAGATGATGATGAAGACGTTGTTGTTGATGTTGACAATCGATTTGTTAAAGGAAATGTTTCGACAATTTGTCTTTTCGTTTCATGACGTCCTATTTGAATATATGAATGAAAATTTATGCAAAAAAATTTAACATTTATTCATCAAGTTAAATGCGAAAAAATGCAAATAAACGAAACTTACCTTCGATCAATGCATAGAACAAATGAGGATCATATTTAACTTGCAATGATAAATGCGTAGATGAACGACAAAGTTCATATGCTCTTGCAATAGGCATCACATGACAATCAACACCATTGATTGATATGACACGGTCACCTGGTCTAAGATCGATATTAGATACTGTAGTCGCTGTAGATGATGATGGAGATTGAATAGGACTTGCATTATTATTGTTATTGAGCAATATTTCACCGATAAAAAGTCTAGCAGAACATTCATAGCCACCAATCAATGAGAAAATTAACGGCGCATTACGATCACTGCGCGTAACAGTAACTTGTCGTTCAAGTGATTTGGCCGATAAATGCATATAAAAAAGTCGTAATTGTGATTTATGTACAGAATTTTCTTTTAAAGCATTTTCAAATTCTTCTAATAGATATCGATTTTCATTTTGAAAATCTTGATAATGATTGACAAGCCATATCAATACTATTCGAACACAATTTTCTACAAGTTGATTATTCGAACGAATACACGAACAAATTCGTCGCATCAGATCGGCCATAATTTTAAAATCTTTTGATGGATGCAAATCTTTTTCTGACCAAATTCGAAACGTAAGTAGAAAATCTTCAATAAAAGTTTCATTTGGATCAGACATGAGTAAAAGATCGTAAAGACGTTCTTTAGTTGCACGAATTAGTTCGTTTGTAGTATCGCCAACGATCGTTGTTTTCGATGATTGTTGTTGCTTGGAAAGACTTTTCGGTGGTGCAGGTGGTGTTGTAGGTGGAGGTTGCTGCTGTGGTAGTGTGGCTGCATTGCTTAAAGGATGAGCTGAACTTTTTACCACCGCTGTAACCGAACCTGTTACATCAATATCAGTAATAAAATCTTCCGTAGTTAATAATTCTAAATGTGATGACTTATTGGCATCACTTTGTTGCGATAAACTTAGATCACTGGCCGTCAAATTTGTCGATCCAAGTGAATTGATATCATCAGTTAATTGGTGTTGTTGTTGATTATTACCAGTAGCAACACTGGACGATATTGATGGTGGCGGTGGCAACAGACAATTAGTACGCATTTCAATTATATTACCAGTTACTTCATCGCGTATCGTTTTGAATGTCTTTTCACCACATATCTTAAAAAAACAAAAAATAAATAAATAACAATAAATTGGAAAAAATAGAAAAAAGATGATTAAATATGCAACATTATCTTATATACCTGATCAAAGATAACATGAGGTACGCATAAAACCCAGACAAAATCTTCATTTGTAAATATCTCTCCGTAGACAACACGATCATCGAGATGCGCACCAAATTCATCTCCAACATGAAGGTAACGAGTATTTTGATGATGATGATGATGATGGTGATGATGATTATGATGATGGAGATGATTAGGATTTGATGTCGATGATCCAGTTGTCGTTATTTGTGCTACATTCGATGAATCAACTTGTGGATTATTTGGCTGATGATGAGGTAAATAACTGTTTGTCGTATCTGTGGTAGATGTAGCTGACGCCATGGGCATCGACACCATATAATTGTCATCATCGACTGAAGTTTCTTGTAGATCTTGTTGTTGTATTATTAGGCCATCATCATCACATGGAAGTACATGTCGTAATGATCCAGCAGCAACAATACAGTAGGCATCTAATTTTTCACCATGTGTTAATACACGAGTATCACGAGCTTCAATTTCGGCAAGAACAAAATGTGGTGCTAATCGCCTACGGGTCATATGATCATGATTTGAATTGATTATTGATAAAAAACGAACAATAATTTCGATATCATCTTCAGTACGGCTATTTGAATCACGTATTAATGCTTCACGTATAAGATATAAATTATGATCGAATATTATGCCGGGTGAATACGTTCCGGTAATGGGTCCGTTCGTCGCTGTCGTCGTTGTTAGCGGTTGAATGATTGACGAATCATTCATTCCACGATGATGATTACTATTAATGATCATTGTATCCATCATTAAAAAATTATCATCTTCATCATCATCATCATCTTCGTTGTTATCAACCAGAGACTCTTCAAGACCTAATGACAGACAAATCATACCGATTGACATATGTAAAGATATGAAGAACAAGGAAAGATTATTATTCGAGAAAAAAATTCAAATCAAATCAAATCAAAGAAAAAAAAAACAAAGACATCTAATACATACCTTCGAGGTCGAATGAGGAATGATTATGTTGATGTTGATGATGATGATGATGGCGATTGGTATTTGAACTATCAACGGGCGAAGCTGTCGAACCAGATTGATGGCACATTTCTATCGAAGACATTTTTGTTTTGCCGATTTGATTTCCAAGATTTTCGCACAGCAAACAAAAAAGTGGAGGAAAAAAATGCAGATTTTGTTCTTATTTACTCATTCAATCAATTGAATTCATTCATTACAATCAATTCATTCATTAAATAAGTGGAACTGGATATTTATATTCAAAAAATTGTCAATAACGAAAAAAAAGGCCGTAAGCATTTGAATTTTGTATTTTTTTTTCTCGAAAAAATTTATGTATGTTTATAATCATTTAATGTTATCATCTGTGTATACTGATGAGGATAATTTTTTCTTATGTTTTTCGTTGTTGTTGTTGTTGTTCTTCATTAAATTCAATTCAAAATTGTTCAAATTGAAAAGCAACAAGTACGTGTCTGTATAAGAATGATTTTTTTTTACTGTTGTTTAATTTACACATTCCTTGAATGAATGAATGAAATGTTGAAATATGGCCAATATGGTGGTTGAAAAGCTAAAAAAAATGATTTTCGTTTTTTCTTTCTTTCTTTCTTTCTGTTGACCAACAAAATGGACATGGATCGTTTCGTTTTGTTGTCATTCATTCAATGTTTTGTTCATTCGGTTTGGTTACAAAATATACATAGGGCCGAATTTAATTGGTTATAGCTATTTATTTCATTTTGTTGTTGTTGTTGTTTTTCTTTTTTGTTTCGTTTTCAATGCAAACATGAATGTGTAATTTTTTTTTCTTTTCTTTGCTTTTGATTTGTGATGATAATATTTTTGTTGAATGATTAACGAAAACAAAAACAAAAAAAGAAATTGGGACAATGTTATCAACACTTATGAAAGTGTCCAGTTTTCGTTTATAAGTAGCTCTAATACATTTTAAAGATTCGAATTTTTTTTTTATAAATAAAAATTTTTGATTTAATCTTCGTATCACGGCAGTAATTTTTATTGATTTTTTTCTTAAAACAGATGATGATCTTATCGATGTTTACTTTGTTGTTTTGTTTATTTTTCTCTTCTTTTTTTTTGTTTGTCGTATCCAACTATTATTATCATTATATCAACAGTTATTAATGGCTAAAATTTCACTTTTTTTTGTTTTTTGTTTTCACTCTTTTTCCATTATCATATTCAACAATGATGATGATGATGATGATGACGCATAATTTGATTACATTATTGAAAGAATCAACAACAACAAAAAAGAGTTGACATGTGAAAATCTTGATGTAAAAATCAGAATATATAACAGATATGTTGATTTTAAAAAAAGGACACAAAAACTTTTTTTTAGATCATATTGATCATGAATGATTGAAATAAGAAGAAAACAAGATAATTAGATCCGGATTGGAATCAAAATGGACAAATGACCGACGGATACAGACACAAAAAAAAACATAGTTTTTGTTGTTGTTTTTTTTCATGTGAAAACAGAATATTATTTTGTTATCGACATCCAAACAAATCGAATCTAATAATGATGATGATGATGGCATAAAATGATGAAAAAAAAATTTGTTTCGATTAAGGATGTATTTATTTGTGTGTGTGTGTGCGTGTGTCCGGTCGGATTGTCAATGATCATATCAATCGATTAATTCGTTATTTTTTTTACGGACGGATAAATTTTTAAAAGTTAACGATTTCAATTTGAATTGTTCATTTTTTTTTGTTGTTGGATACAAGCCAATAAATCACCAATTGATTCGAAAAAAAAAGATTATTTAAATCGACAATATAATGTAATCGATCGTTTGACCATCATTCAATTTGATGATGATGATTATGATGAGAGCTTATCATTTTTTGATTTTCACTGTTATTGCATCTCTTCAAACTGATGATTTTTTTTCACAAACTTTTTTTTTTGTTTTGTTATTGATGCGTTCGTTTTTTGCTCAATCAACAACAACAAATCATCATCATCATCAAGAGAACAATGTCAGTTAGTATCACTGGAAATGGCTCGAAAAAAAAAACATTTATAACATCACATTATGATGACCAGGATTAAATATCGTTGTCCAATAAAAACGATATGCATTATCTATAAAGTACACAGAGTGGAACAAAAAGAGATGAAAAAAAATGCAACCAACAAGTTGAAAACTGTTGTTGTATACAGGTAAAAGTTGATGGTAGTCGTCCATACGAATCATCGATGATGTTGATGATCAAAGAAAAAAAAAGTATGGTAGAAAAAAAGGAGTGGATAATATACCGATGATGATGATGATGATGATGATGAACACCTTTGTCGGTAAGGGGAAAAATATGCGCACATTCAATCGATTCGATTTGGCTCTAACTTTGAAATGATGATGATGAATTTGATAGATGAAAAAATAGTAGCATCAATGTAAGTTATTCTGAAAATATTCCGGTTTCGGCGTCATCGAATTGCCACACAACGATTTATATATAAGATGACCAGGTTATATTCAATATTCAATATTTTTTTTTTTGAATGAATGAATTTATTTATCAAACATTCGACCACAAAACTTCAAATCCAGTTGTTGATGATGTTTATTTATTTCTGTTTGTTTGTTGTTATGATGTGGTGATGATGATGATGATGGTGGTGGTGGTGGTCGATGTTCAACCAATGTTCAAGTCGTTGAACAACAAGAGCAAACAAACAAAAAAAAGAAATAAATTGAAATCAGGAATGTATTTGAGCCATTTGGTCAGGTTGTTCCAAACATGTTGCCAGTATATACACACACACACACAAACAAACACAGGAAAATGAGGTATAAACAATTCTCCTCCTCCTTCTTCTTATTTTTCTTCTTCTTCTCCTCTGTTTTTTTGTTACCCTGTTTTCTAAGATTGAAATCTTTATTGAATCCAATATCATTCAACAACTATGATCCATACAAATGATATTTTTGAAAAAAAACTCAGGTGTGAAAAATATTTTTTTGAAAACCTGTTCTTATATGACTTGAAAAACAGGATAGTCATTTTATTATTGTTTATTTTTTTTTTACAAACACACACTTGCTCGCTCGTTTTTTTTCTCCATTCATTCATAAATCTTTGCTCCAACAATGAAAATTGTTGCAGCTTTCATAACATGATCCATAAATGACGTACATGAATATTCCATGTATTTCTTTTTGGCGGGCAATATTTTTTATAAGAATTTAGTTTTGTTAAGTTGAAAAAAAATAACAAAATAAGTAAGCGATTGTCAATGGTTTACATTTGATTTAACATAAATTGAACTAATCAAGGAAGTAATGACCAATAATCTGTAATTTTTTTTTTGTTGTTGTTGATAGGTTCGAAATATCGGAAACAGTCGATGATAAACATTGTTGAATGAAAAAATAGTTTTTTGATATGATTCGCGCCATCTTGTAATTAAAAAACTGAATTTATACATTTTTAAAATGCATTTAATTTTTTGTCAGAAAAATTGAACTTATTCGACATTCATTGATATTTTTTTATCGTTGTGTGATAGATATCCGCATTGTCATCATCATCATCATTGAATGTCGATGAATGACAATGAATCTAAACCAAATAGATTCAACTACTAAAAATCATAATGTTCATGTCGGATAATCATATTTTGTAACATAATAATAAAAAACGTTAGCCTTTTTTTCAAATCGACGACACCGATATTATCGTGATCAACAAAACGATAATTGACGATGAACAAAAATGCCATTCAAACATTATAGCTAAACGATGATGATAGAGAGAAAAAAAATTTTTGGCCATACATTCACCGAATACATTTAATTTGGGAAAAAAAATCTATAGAAAATGATAATCAACATGTAGTTTTTTTTCATCAAATTGCCGCTTCTTTGTTGTCGTTGTTGTTTGTCTTGTTTGACCTCATCATCTTCTTTTTTTTTAAAAAGAAAAGATTTTCTTCATTTCTGGCCATCATCAATATTGGTATTAATCATATCGATGTTGGAATAAAATCTTTGAAAAATTTTTTGGATCCAAAAGTTTTTGAAAAATAATTAAAATCCAATATTCTTGGATATCATTAATGGGTAGTAGCATTAACATTCGAACGAATTGAATTTAATATACCGGGATAAATCGAACGAATAATACCCGTTGTTGATTATGAATCAATCATATACCGCTCCTATTTATTGAGCGGATAATATATTTTCGGGATTTTTTTTTCGATTCGCTTTTTTTGTGCTACTTCCTTTTTGGTACCATAAATAAATAAAAGTTGATTGAGAATAGAATCCACACACTTTATAATGATATCCTATACTTCACACACACACACACACACATAACATTGCTACTACTACGAATGGCCGAAACGAGCCAAGATTTTTTTTCCCCAAAAAAAAAATTAAATGGATATACACTTTTCACAGGCGGACAATCAAAAAAAAGAAAAAAGTTTTTTTTTCCTCTTATGCCATCGAATGTCTTGAATGTTCAGATTCTAGAATGTTGTATAATACAAAAAAATAAATAAAAAATCATAGCTCCGAATTCTTTCCCCCATTCAACTTTGATTCTGTCATAAGTACATCCATTCATTCATTCATTTTTTTCTTTTCGATCAAATATCCCGATTTTTTACATTTAAAATTGAAATTCTTTATTGTTTTGTTATGTGGGCAATTCAACATTCATGTTATCATTTATAAATATAAACTTCTCCGATATTCTGACAAAGAATATTTTTCACTTCATATTCTCATCATCTTCGTTGCTTGGTGGAAATAAACAAACCTAGCTCACCGTAATCATTATTGATTTTTAAATTTTCAAAATTCTGTTTTATTATTATCGATTATCGATTATGATCATCAAGCCTATACAACGACAATGATTAATGGTGTGGATGGTGATGATCATCATTGTAAAGTAACATCATCATCATCATCAACTACAAATCTAAATAGCTTCAAGTCTCATTGTTTGTGATATTTAAAAAAAAATAATTAAAAATACTAAATTTCATCAAAATTTTATTATTTGGCCGAAAATAATTTTCAATTCAAAATAAAATCTTAAAAATGTGGAGCATGATGTGCGATGTGATGCCAACCATCAGCGAAGATGGCATCACACAACGTACCGGTCAATTCGGTGCAACATCGGCAGTCGGTGATGAGGCTAATTTTGAACAATTAATGGTCAATATGTTGGATGAACGAGATAAACTAATGGAATCATTACGTGAAACACAAGACGAATTAAATGAAATCAAAGCAAAATTGATCGAAGTGGAAAAGGAACGAGATTCATTACAAAGACAACTTTCATCGCATATGCCTCAGGTTTGTCATTAAAACTATGTTCAATCAATCATAATTGACACCTGTGTATTATTATTATTTTTCTCAATCACAGGAGTTCACCAGTTTGACACGAGAATTGAATCAAGCACGAGAACAATTACTTGAAAAAAATGAAGAAATTCAAGAACTTAAAGCTGAACGAAATAACACAAGGGTATTTGTATCCATTTTTTTTCCTGAAACTTTGCAATTAATTTTGTTTTTTTTTAGCTTCTACTTGAACATCTTGAATGTCTCGTATCTCGACATGAACGATCTTTACGTATGACTGTAGTCAAAAGACAAACACAATCACCAGCCGGTGTTTCATCCGAAGTTGAAGTACTAAAAGCATTAAAATCACTATTTGAACATCATAAAGCGTTGGATGAAAAAGTTCGTGAACGATTACGTGTAACATTGGAAAAAGTATCTACATTAGAAGATGAACTAAGTCAAGCAAATGAAGAACTAAATAAGTCAAGGCAGATGCAATTACAACAACAACAACAAATTGAAAATCTAATGCTCGAATCAAAGATTCGCTATAAAGAATCGGCAGCCAATAATGATCAACAATCTGACAAAAAATCATCAACAACAAATAATCAGACATTGAATAACGAAAATAAATCTAATGATAGTGATGCATCGACAACACGATTAAGAGAACTTCAATCTTTGATTGATAAACAAAATAATGATATGATTGCCTTGCGTAATCGTTCAGTAGAATTAACAGCCAAACTAAAGGATTATGAAGATCGTATAGTCAAACAAGATAAAGAAATGGCACAACTAAAAGAGGATAATATTAGAATGTCAAGAGATATGAAAGAAAATCTAGCGCAAAAAGAAGATCAAGAAGAAAGAATTGCTACACTTGAACAGCGATATCTTCATGCACAACGTGAATCAACATCATTACATGATAATAATGAAAAACTACAGCGAGAATTGATCAATAAAGAAGCACAACTAAGAATATTAGAAGATAAGCTAAATTCCTTGAAAGATGAAATCCGTATGCTAACCGAAAAGAAAAAATTCAAGCGAAAAAATAAACGTAGTTTTCGATTGGAAGGAGAAAACGGACAAATTATCAATAATCAAGATGGTGATGCACTTAATGATGAAAAAGATCAGGACGATACAGATGCTTCTGATTCCGATGAATTGAGCGAAGAGCGTAAACGATCATATGATGAAAGAATTCTGCGTCTCGAACAACAATTAGAAGAAAAAGGTGCCGAATTAAATCGTGCTCGACAACGAGAAAAAATGAATGAGGATCATAATCAACGTCTATCAGCTACTGTTGATAAATTATTGGCCGAATCTAATGAACGTTTACAGTTACATCTTAAAGAACGAATGTCTGCGCTTGAAGATAAAAATACGATGACACAAGAATTGGAACGTATCCGTAATCTTTTGGATGAAACACAAATGGAAAAGGGTAAAATCCTGCAGGAATTGAGTAAAATGCGGATCGAAATGGAGAATATAGCTTCTCAACAACAATCACAACGAGGAATGTCTCCATCATCGGTCATGGCCAGATTCCACCATTCATCATCGTTTTTAAATCATCATCAAACAACGAATGTGACGGCAGCTGCAACTTCATCAGCATTATCATCTCCATTATCATCCGATGCAGCTAGTTTATCTACAGCCAAACATGTTGGTGGCGGATCATCACATACTGGTGGCGGATCCACCCCATCATCAGTGGTTCAAGCTGCATCCTCAACAGCAACAAAACAAGAAACTGCTGGTGAAACACAGGCTGTAGCTAAAATTGATCAAGACCATCGAATATCGCCTATAGCAGCCGATAGTCATACTGTTGATGCTGATAGCCGCAGCCAAATAAATAACGAATCCAATCCATTCGAAGATATTGATCAACAATTAGATCAGATAATATCATCATCGGCTGCTGCCATATCACAACCACATCTTCATCAAAGTCATCATCATATGCCAACATCTCATCATTCTCATACTGATCCACAAACATTGGCCATCATGTTACAAGAACAACTCGATGCTATAAACAATGAAATACGATTGATACAAGAAGAAAAACAATCTACTGAACAAAGAACAGAGGAATTAGAATCACAAGTTGGCTCAATTGATTCGCATATGAACAACTATTTTACCGGCTTAGGTTCTAGCCATTTCGGTACTGGTCTTTCTCCACCACATTCCGGCACTTCCACGCCTAAATCACCATCAACGTCAATGGCCATTATGAATGCAGCATCGATGAGCCATTTTTATCCAACTATTACTCCTGGTCATCGTCAGCCGTCATACGCCGGTATGACGTCCGAACGTGATGCATTTTCACATTATGCATCTCCACATCACCTGGCTGGTTATACGAATCCCAATTGGAATTCATCAAATTCATCGTTACCAACTGATGTTTATCAAAGGTTTGTTAAAATTATCTTAATTAGTAATGAATTCATTTTTGAAAAATTATTAGAGCATACAAAACAAATCAAGGAAACCAGATGAATCCTTATGTACTGGATACGATAGATCAATCGCCACGTCATTCATCCCCGAAATCTTCTCAGCCTTCGAATATGAATTTTGTTGGATCCGCAGCTATGGAATCAATGAACAATAATGCAGCTACGATGGGTAATTCTCAAAAATCTCCGTATAATCAACGTGTGATTAATGTATCCAACATGAGCGATTATGCTACGATTGGTTCACCAGTTGGTGGTAATTATCAGTCAGTCAATACATTAATATCACCAACCGGATCGACCGTTTCATCTATGCCATATTCTCCATATGGTTATATTAATCCAACTTCATTTGGATCGAATACATTGAATTCGATTTCATCCACCGGTTCTACAACAACACCAACTACTAAGAAAAAATTAAAATCTTCATTAGTTGGTCGATTATTTTCTAGTTCTTCATTATCAAAAAAGTCTTCCTCTACAGATAAATTAAAATTACAGAATACGATGACCTCTCAAAATCAACTTCATCAGACAATGCTCACAAATCCGTCGAATAGTTTCTATGGTATAGGTGTTGCCAATAGTCCAAGTTTTGCCAGTGATTATAGTGATTATATGAGCCATGGTGAATTATATGCTAGTGTCACTAGTTCAGCCAGTTCAATCTTGGCATCACCGGTAGCTACACGTGCTGATTATGATCGTCGTACAAAGAAAAAACATGAATTATTAGCCGAATCTATGAAAGCCTGTACGCCATTCGCCCTTTGGAATGGGCCTACCATTGTCGCCTGGTTAGAGGTATGCTATTGTTTGGAGAACATTTTTCATTATTTATCTAAATTTTTGTTTTCGTTTTAGTTATGGGTCGGTATGCCTGCATGGTATGTTGCTGCTTGTCGTGCCAATGTTAAAAGTGGAGCTATAATGTCAGCCTTATCTGATACGGAAATTCAGCGTGAAATCGGTATTAGTAATCCATTACATCGACTTAAATTAAGATTAGCCATCCAAGAGATGGTTACTCTTACATCACCATCAGCTGCAGCTAAACCAACTGTCACTACAGGTTTAGCATATGGTGAAATGAATCATGAATGGATTGGAAATGAATGGCTGCCATCACTGGGTCTTTCACAATATCGTTCGACGTTCATGGAATGTTTGGTCGATGCACGGATGCTAGGTCATTTGAGTAAAAAAGATATCCGTACACATTTGAAAATGGTTGATGCGTTTCATCGTACTTCCTTACAATATGGTATTGCCTGTTTAAAGAAATTGAATTATGATCGAAAACAATTGGAAGATCGACGAAGGAATAGTGAACATGATATCATTGGTTTGTTTATGGTTGTACAATTTATTATATCTAATGATGATTTTATCGAATTTTCAGATGTTCTTGTATGGAGTAATGAACGTCTCATACGGTGGGCAAGTGATGTTGGCTTAAAAGAATATGCCAATAATCTAACAGAAACTGGTGTACATGGTGCATTGATTGCATTGGATGATACGTTCGATGTGAACCATATGGCTATGGCACTTCAGATACCACCACAAAACGTTCAAGTATGGTTTAATGATTAGATATTTGTTTGTCGAATATTTGAAATTAATTTTTCTTTTTATTATGAAAAAAATAGACTCGACAAATACTAGAGAATGCATTTAACGAGCTTTTAATCAATGGTACTGAGCGTAGGCCAAACAATAAGGTAATTACCGAATATAAACAGCATGAGCATGAACATTTTTTACGACGTAAACGAGATTTTATTCATCAATGTTTTGTTCATCATAATCATCATTAATAATTAGATCTGTACTGGTGGTGGTTCATCATCATCAACATCGGCCGGTAGAGCGTCAGCAATTGTTGCGATCGAGCCCGATCGTTTAGTATAAGCTCAATCAATTTTGATTGTCTTATTTTTTTCCTACTTAAAACTCATTGGCTTAAAAACTAACCAATTATTTGGCTTTTGAAAACATCCTGCTTAGTTGTATGACGAACAAAACGACCATTGAAATAACTAGGCAAAGAAAGCTCTTCGTAAACGTAATTGTAACAAAGAAATTCAATGATCTGACCTAAACCGAACATGAGAGCCGTCATCATCATAAGCGAATCTTTTAACTTTGCTTATTAATTAATTCGATTAACACATGCCCATACACATAGAATGATATTAACACTTTTGAACTAATTTTTTTCAATTAACCAGAAAAAACTGCTAGTCATCAACATTTTTTGTTATTATTTAGCCATCCATCAATCATTTTCGTAATCCTTACCCCCTTTTTTCTAACATAGCTGTGTATATGCGAAAGAAGTTGATTTTTTTTAATAATAATTTTTATTGAAACATATGATGTTGGTGTGATCAACATGTGTCATATTATTTATTAAATTAAGACTGATTTGGATTCTCTTATACATAAGTGCATAGATATCCAATTAATATCAATTTTTGATTATATAACACACATAAACACAAACACACACACACACACACACAATGAATAAGCTTGTATTTATCGATTGGTGAAACAAAAAAAAAAAAAAAAATTTTTTGGCAAATTCTTAATTAAATTCACTTGTGATATTTCGAAGTTTCATCATCATCATCATCATCAATGTCTCTTTTTACATACAAATCACAATAATAACATTTGTATATGTAAATCTTAATTTTCATTTCAAAATTACATTTATGTATTAACAAACAACAAACAAAAAAAATCAATTGTAATTGTTTTTAATTCCTACATGAATTTTCTCTTTCCTTAACGTACAAATTCTTTTCTGTTTAATTAATTATATTAAATTCATTAATCATTATTGAGTATTTAAAAACTTTGATAAAATTGTTGACATTTTTTTCCTGGCCAAGGTTATTGATTTTGACCATACAGAGTTACGTAAAGTAACAAAAAAAAGTGGATATCCTAACTTATAATTATTATTACATTGTATTGAAGTTGGCATGTTTTTCTTTCTGATGTTTTTGAATCAATTTTAATTTAATCAGTCAAGGATAGATATGCACACATACACAAACATACTATAGCATAGATATGAATAGATAATGGTGGGCATGAAACAAATTTAATATTTTCATTTGCAATTCGAAATTGAAATATTCCCACAAGTAAATAGAAAAAGATTATTTTTTTTAATCAATTCAATAAGGGTCATGTTTGAGTTTGAGCTATGGAAAACAACTAACCAGCTGAATATTATTATTATTAAATTTTAAAATTACAATTTTGATGGCGGGAAATTGATGACGGAAAAAAACTTATAACCACATCGACATTTGATATACTTAGCAACCAACAATCATCAGTAATTTGATTGATAATTATTGATTGATGCCATTACCATTCGTTAAATGATCAAATCATCCAACAAAACCAAACACATTGATATGTGAGGATATACCGACAAAGTAATTTCAATGTGTCAAACAAGAGAGAGAGGAAAAAAACGTCATCAAATGATCCAAGCACACGGGTTTAAAGTTACAAAAAAAATGGTTCGATTAATTTTTGTCATAACATGTTGCTGATAATTTGACCATTTAATGAGAATCACATGTTTGAAAAAAAATCTTGAGGAATTGACAATTTTGAATCATTTGATCGTAATCACAATCAGATGATCTTTAGTTTAGATTTCATGATTAATTGAAAATCAAGAAATTTATTATTTGCTAATATCAACAATTCTTCAAGGTTTCATTCTTTAATGATGATGATGAAGACGTCTAGGATAGCAACAACAATTTGAATGATTGGAGAAATCCCAATTTGTTGATGAAATTCGAAGCCAATTATGATAATTAGATTAAATGTTAATGAATAATCATTTTAAATCAAAATTTCCTATACTGATTATATAAAAAAAAATCATCGTGGAAAAGATGAAAAGGGAAAATGAATTTATAGGAAAAAAAACCTCTGATCATCATGCGCTGGATTTTGAATTAGACCTTGATTTATTATTCACTTCTGTGTTCATACGAAAAAGGGGCATAAAATCATTGAATCCATAATTGTTATTTTTTTTAATCAATCGATTGATTGATTGATCGGCTGATCATAATCGGACAAAAATCAGCCTATAGGCGATCTCTTATTTCATAAATAAGAGAGTAACAAAATTGGCCAATAATTGTTCTCAATTTTAAATGATGAAAAGCTGATGCAATTGACCAATTTTAATTCATTACATGTAAAGACTTGAACGTCTTGACACATTATTACTTTTTTTTCAAAATCAAAGTTTTTATTATAAGTTTTCAATTTATTACAATATTTTTTTTTTGCAAACAATTGAATGTGAAGAAGAAAAAAAATGTTCAAATCAAGTGCCAATTCTTTAATCATTCGCGTGAATGTGAATGATACCAAAAAATTTCTGGTCGATGTTCTTCATCGTCGTTTTTCATTCAATTATCGATCAATAAATTCAATTTCCAATGAACAAGCACCATCGACTACAATTCGAAATGAAAATTATTCGACCGTAACATATTCGTCAAATAAACCTCGTGTACTAATTACAGGTTAGTGAATTTGATATCTTAATCATCATCAATGTCATTGTGAAAACGTTGATATTTAATTTAAAAAAAAACAGGAAGTTTTGGACAATTGGGTTTCGGTTTGGCAAAACTTATACGAAATCGTTATGGCCGAGATAATGTGATAATGACTGATATTGTTAAACCACAAACCGATATAATTGCATCGGGTCCCTTTACATTTATCGATGTTTTAGATCGTACAAGTATCGAATCAGCTGTCGTCAAATATGGAATCGATTGGATAATTCATTTTAGTGCATTACTTAGTTCAATCGGTGAACAAAATGTATCCCGGGCTATTCAAGTGAATATCGGTGGACTACATAATATTTTTGAAGTAGCACAAAAACATAAACTATCGGTTTTTGTTCCAAGCACTATTGGTGCATTTGGTCCTGAATCTCCACGAAACATTCCAACACCGGATTTCTGTATTCAAAGACCCAAAACAATATATGGAGTATCGAAAGTTCATGCAGAACTGCTTGGAGAGGTAACTAATAAAAATGTTTTTTATTTTTTTATTTTGTTCATATTAATAACCCGAATGTTAGTATTTTAATCACAAAAACAAATTGAATTTCCGTTCGCTTCGACTTCCGGGTATAATTTCAGCCGATTCACAACCTGGCGGTGGTACTACTGATTATGCAGTCGATATGTTTCATCAGGCCTATGATAATGGATCATATGAATGTTATTTAAAACCGGATACACGTTTACCTATGATGTACATTGATGATTGTCTTCGATCAATTGTCGAATTGATGGAAGCTCCTGAACAATGTTTACAACAAAGGACATATAACATCCATGCAATGGATTTAACACCAATGGAATTAGCTACGGTCATTAGGCAATATGTTCCAAATTTTGAGATTCGATTTTCTATTGATGCTCGACAATCCATCGGTAAGTGTTAACAATGACTATTTAAATATCTCGATTAAATTTCAATAATCTAATCTCAAATCATCAATTTTTTTAACAAAATACCTGATATAAAGCTGATACATGGCCACAAGCATTGAATGATCAAGCAGCACGACGTGATTGGAATTGGAATCACAATTATGATCTAAACCAGCTATGTCAAATAATGTTTAAGAAAATTTCAGAAACAAGAACATCAAAATATTTGAATCACGAAACGTTGAATAAAGCCGTAAAACATGATCAACAACATAAATCGGATTGTACACAAGATGATAGTTCAATTCATCATAGCCGTCAACAACAACAAATGGCTTACTAACAAAATATAATGGCGTGCTGAATTGTTAGAAAACAAAAAAATAGCAATCATCACTGACTGACCGAACAAATAGTCGTATTAAATGAACCTGAACTGAATGGCTATTGCAAACAAGTGAAAAAAAAACTTATCTTCAACGGATTTTATATTTTTCGTAATCGAACCGAACCCTTATTATTGTATCTCTATCCTTTGTAAAGCCTATGATGATGGCTATTACAAAGATGTTTTTTATTATTATTATTATATGTATAACGATGTTATTATTATTATTATTTTGACAACATGCCTGTAATCATCTTACCCTATATTTTAAATATTATTATTATTATTTTTCCACCAAATAAACACAAATTCATTGTGTTGAAAACTTGTTGAAAATATAAGAAGGATTAAAGAAACAACATGTATAGAGGTATGTTTAAGAATTTATCACTGGACAATCCTTCAAATGTCCTAATTCTGGCAAACCCTCGAACGAAATAGAAAAAAAAGGAAAAGAGTGCAATGTTTTTTTTTAATCTCCACTATAGCATCATCATCTAGCCGGAAGATGTGAAAAACCTTAATTAAACTAAATCATTTTAAATGGGCATGGTTATTTAATGATAATGATTGTATGGTGATGGATAGTTGTTGAAATATAAGAATTAAAAAAAAAGAACAATGACCATTTTTGATGTTCAAAGTCATTCGACAGTGATGCTAAAACAAGTAAACGGGAAAACTTATTATCATGATCATATGTGGATCCATTGGTTGTATTATTGAAAAAAGTAATGACAATTTATTCTATTCTGTTATTCAAAAAAAAAATGATAATCACATCGTAGTTGAATTTATTTGTTGTTTGTTAAAAACAAGTAAATAGCAGTAGCAATAGTCGGCTTGTCCATCAACATTCATCATCAGAGATGTTGGACATGATGAACAACTTTGTCCGAAAATTCTCTTCTTTCTTCATGGTATTTTTTTTCTACACAAAACAATTTTGCTTATATAAGTTGATAATTTCTACCATTACCAATGCTGACATTGACCGAAAAAAATAACATAGACATCTAAATTAAAAAAATAAAAATAAATGTCCAATCGGATGGACATCGAAAAAAAACAACAACTAAAAAGTGTTCAAATAAAAAAAGTACTGTGCAGGTTATTGAACTTTATATACTTTACCAATTTGAATGACAATAATGATCAATGATCATTATTTATCATGATTAGTGGATTTTATCAATATTTCAATTTAGAATTTATCATCTATTTTAATAGTTTTTCTTTTCAATTTTCTTTCTTTAATTTGTTTGAGGAAAAGAATTTTTTTTTGTTGAAATAAGTATAGTAAAAATGAAAGAGTAAAGATCTCATGATGATGATAAACATTAAAAAAAAGTTTCGATGATAATGGTGATTCACAAAAAAAAATAGTATTTTGCAAATAAGAAATAACACGAACAGGTGTGCAAACTATTATCACGGCTCAGGTATATCTGGTTTTATTTTCTTCTTCTTTTTTATTTTCTTGCTAAATGAAATAGCTGAATTACCAATGCTTTCATTTGGCCTTTTTTTGTACCATCCATTTTACCTTGAACTTGAAATAATTTACTGTACATAAATTTGATTGAAAGATAGATAGATGGAAAAAAAAGAGAAAAAGAAAGAGACCAACTACTACGATCATGATTGCCGGTTCTGTCGCCGATGGCGGTCAGTAGTGGTTTTCATGATGGCCACATACGATATAACGGTATTTGTTTCTGATGGTTTGTAATCGTTATTTAGTGAACAATCCGAATGTTTTGACCATTCGATTTACAACTGTCCCCCATAATCGTCATTATTTATTTTTGTCAGTTAAAAAAAAATCAAGTGTATCTTCAAGTTTGAAGATTAATTTTATTTAACTTTGACATTTTTTGAGTGTGAGAGGTATTGTGTTATTTGTTCGTTTGGAATGTCATGAATTATTCCTGTTTTTGATAATTACTATTGCATTTTTTTTCTAAATCATCGAGTATTTGATGCTAAACAAATCAAAAATGTTAGTTAACCGATATAATTTAAACTTTTCGCATATTATCATTATTATTATATCGATTGCAATCGTAATTAGTGTTGATGCCCTACATCAACGACAACAACCTAATCCAATACAATCATTAGTTCTTCGACGATTTGCCTATCCACCCGTTATACATTCAATACGTATGGCTAAAATTACAGCCAAATTTGATCAAAATTCAAATCAAAGTAAGTATTCATCTACGAATGATCATTTTGATTAATAGTAGCTCGACTGAAGTTTGATTCAATATATTTGTTGGTATTTTGTTTTTCTTCTTTCCTTTCATTCAAAACATCTTGACCTGAAATCTAATTGTTTATACACATACATTCAAACTTCAAACCATTTATCAAAATTTCTATCTACTTTTTGTTTTCAGACAAAACAACAACGTCATCTATAAATAATGGAACCATTATTCAATCTTCTGCACAACATTCATTACCACCGTCAAGATTACCGGTTCCCGATTATTCACATTATGATCATCAAAGAGGTCTGATTATATTGAATCGTTTGGTGAAAGAATCATTTTTAATACCAACATGGAATGAATTATGGAATAATCGCAATGGTCGAAGACGAATATTTTCAGATTTACCGACCTACATAGGAAAAGTGATTCGTGGCCTAACTAATCTAACAATGGCCATCGGTCGAACAATTAATTCGGAAAATGGAAATGGTTCATTATCTCGTTTGATAACACATCGTTTAGTTGGTGTTTCGGAATCATTGATGGGCTGGGTCGAAAGATCTGTTGATGATCTGCCAAGCATACCTCGTTTAGATGCTCAAGAATGTATGAAACGTTCAATTTGTGAAGCACATAATCAACCTAAAAAATATGGTGCTGTCGGTTTGATTATACAATTATTCTTTCCGTGAGTATTCGAAATTTGATTTGCTTGACACTTTGCTGACTTTTGCAAATCTCAAATTATAGGCCATATTTAGATGTGGAAGATGCAAACAAAATCGTATCCAAATATCAATTGGCTGCACGTTATGGACGTGGAGAAAATGCCAATTGTGCTGCACAATACGATGATTGTATGGTCAATGTTTTGGATATTCTACAGGGAGCCATCAATATGATCTTCTAGAATTAAACTAAAACAGGTGATATATTCTCAAATATAGATATCAACCGAAACTAAATGATTATTTATTGGTTCAAATTTACCGAGTTAAACTTCTCCTATTTGTGTACATATTTTATTTATTCTATTCAGCCGATTGACTCGATTGAATCGTTTATCATTCATTAAACATACATTTTCAGTGATTTAACTAATTCATTTCAAAATGATTGTAATTGTAAAAAAAAATTTATTCAAATTAAATGACCTCATATTTATTGCCACTATAAATGATGAGATAACAAAATTGGATTTTTTTTTGAATTCAACTGGTAGAAAAAAACAAAATTTTAAATCCAATGCAATATGGGTCAACATCACACGAAGGAGGGAAAAATTTTTCATTTTAAATTATAAATTTTTTCCCAAATGTGATAGATGGCTCTGCAAACTATTCCAAATTCATACCGTCCACTGTCGACATCTATTGTCAAATGTGAAATATGACAAAGTGAGTTGTTTGAGGTATGCGCATGTCGAACATATGGTTAACGTTCATAAACAATGTTTTTTTTTTTCGTTTAAAAAAAAAATATTTAAAGGTCCTAACGCCCCAAATCATTTTAATAAATAAAAATGCAAAATTATTTGAATCAGTTTTTTATTAGCATTATTATTATTAATCCAAAGAAAAAAACGAGAGATTGACAGAAAAAATCAAAAAAAAAAAAAAAAAATTATCTTGTAAAAATATCACAAAAAAAATCTACTGTAATTGAATTGGAAGTTGGAAAAAAAGAATAAAATTTAGGCTACTATTAGCTGGATAATTCCATGGATGATGAAAAAAAAACGAAGAAATAACAAGCCAGAAAGAGGAGTATTTGGGCCAAAAAAAATGTGAAAGTCTATATTAGTGCGAGTATTCAGATTTCTATACGCTACGTATATGGCCGTCATTGATGACGATTATATTTGAGCGATTTTGGTATTGATGTTCCAGAATATCATGTTGAGAGATTCGTGTGTGTGTGTTTGTGTGCATGTAGAGATCGGAATCCATTTTGAGATTCTTAGCCAAAAAAAAGAAGATGCTTCTTCATTCATTTCCTATTGTGGATGATCATAAATGTGGCCATCTTTTTTCATTGTCTGTGGATTTGGTAATGGTCGTTCCCATGGTGTCTGAAATAAATCATGGTAAAAAATGAGAAAAAAAAGAAATGAAAAAATTGAATGAACTTTGCAGAATTTGATGGAAAATCTACATCGATCGATCGGTCAAGTTCTTATTTAGACTGTTAATCAGGAACGTCAATCAATCAATCAATAAAACTGTTATATGAATAGGAATTGGTTTAGTATCTTATATTTTATCTTCCGAGATTTTTTTTTTGCTGGTTATCTTTTGTAATTGCATGCTAAATGCTAGTGTGTGTTCCTAAATCAATTTATCAACTGAGAAAAGTGTAGACAAATGTCCAAACCATTTGATATTTGGTTAACACTCACTCAGCTTAAAAGGACTCTAAATAGTTCTGTCAGTTAAATTGACCGTTCGACCGAACTTAATCACTGAATTGGCTATGGTTCGTTTATCCACGCACACTCGAATTGTTCCAGAAACTAACCTCGGCCCCCATTGGTAATGTAGCATACGGTGTTGGATAGACACCGCCAGCAGCAGCCGAAGTTGGTGGCTGTCCATCGATGCTCATCAACAATGTTTTATTGGCTGTCTTTTCAAAATCAGCATAACGAGGCGTGGTTCCCACGTTGTATGCAGCTGATAGACGTTTATTTAGGGTAGCTGCGTCCAAGTTGACTAAACGAATACAAAAGAAAAATGAACAAAAAAAAAATTCGTGATGTAAGAAATGGTGGCACGTTATTTGACTTCCAATGACATATCATGCATCATTTTTGCGCAATGTCAATGAATTTGTTTGAATTCTTGAATAATGAATCCAGCAAATCATTTAAACATCCATACACTTACAGGGATTATTGTTTGCATTTCTTGTCTTACGAATGCATACATAGGCAACGATCATAACGATTACAATGATTACCAATGCAATTAGTAATGGCCATAGAAACATCGGTTCTAGGTAATAATTAGCACCATGAAAACGTCTAATGATTTCATGCGATACCACGGCCATTCCTTTAATTGAAAAAAAAAATGATAAATTCAAATCTTAAAACAAAGGGATTTTTACCGTTTTGTGTACGGGTCGTGATTAAATTGCTTGGATCTCCAACACCAAAACGATTGATAGCAGCCACATAGATCATATAATTTGCATTTGGTTCCAAATTTTCCAATACAAATGAATATGAATTAAATGATGAATTTGGATCGACAGTTGGCTGATTAGCATTGTTATTACTGATTGGCACTTCTTTCCATTTGGCTTCATTTTCTTTTCGATAATGAATGGTATATCCCGAAATGGCTGATTGTGGATAATTAGAGCCATGTAATTTTTGATACCATTGTAAAGAAATTGTTTCTTCGGTACTGTCGATAACATTTAATTGAAATGATGGTGGTAAATCACCATCAAATGTATGGGCAGTCATTGGATGTGATTGTGGACCACTACCAGCCGAATTATAAGCTTTGACTACGATACTATATTCAGTTCCTTTGTTTAATTGCCGTAAAAAGTATTCATGAAATGTTATCTCTTTTGGTCGGGCTTTTTGTGCTTGATTTGAATCTCGACCGGCTGCTGTTGTCGGTACAGTTATATAAACATAAGGTGCATTATTGTCTCGAACTTTACGATATCCAACATAATAGCCTTTGATTTCGCCATTCCAATTTTCAATTGGTGGTGATCGCCATGTAACACGTATGGTTGATGGTCCCATTGATTCAGCTGCAATGTCATTTGGTGGTGCTGAAGGTTCTTCTTCGCCGGTTGTAAATGTGACCGGTGCTGATGATGCACCTTTACCGATTTCATTTTCAGCTGCCAAAAATAATATATGTGAAAACGATGAAAAAATTGCCAGTCATGTTTCTTACCTATAACACTCAATTCATAAGATTGACCAGGGCTTAGATCTTTGAGAAAAAATGATGATTGAGATCCGGGAACAAAAACTTCGTTAAGACGATGTGGTGCACTTTGATAACGCCAATATTGAATCGTATATTTTTGAATTGGAAGATTACCATTGAATGGTTCTGACCAAGCTAAGCTTACTGTTCGAGACCAAACTTCTTTGACATGAACATTTTTAGGCATTCCAGGTACTTCCACCACTTCCAATCGAATAGTTCGTTCATCTTTACCATGTTCATTTTCAACAAAACATTTATAAACGGCAGCATCATTGGTCTGGCTAGTCTGAATGAACAATTCGGACCGAATTCCATCATCAGTATTCGTATCGATGATTTCATAGCTGAATGAATAATGTATTTTTTATTGCAAAAAAAATGTCAAAAGAAAAAAAGTAACATACTTGGATCCAAGTTTATCAAGTTTAACATTATTTTTGGTCCATTGAACAGTAAGTGGTTGATCGCCGGTGGCATTACATTCCAGTCTTGCACTTTCGCCTCGTTTCACTTTTAAAGAAGCAAATTTTTCGTGAAATTTGACGGGTACTATACGATGAAAAGATTCAAATGATGTTTGTCGTTAAACAGTGATGACTTGAAAAAAAACTTACCCATAAAAGAAACTTTGATAGATTTTCGTAATGGTTCGCCAACACCATTATCAGCCAAACATTCATAAGAATCAACATTGGCAGTCCGATACTTATTGACATCCAGATATTCAGATTCGATTGTAATTCCTTTCAACGGCATTATAAATGATGGTTATCTGGAATACTGGAAAAAATTTGGCTATCTAACAAACCTTTTGATGTAATCCATTTGATCGTCGGTTTCGGTGATCCATCAGCTTTACATTCCAAACGAAAACTTTCTTTGCCATTAGTGTGTACATCTTTCGGTTCGACTATCCATGTAGGTGGTACTATTTGTAAATATAAAAAGAAAATTTCCAACTCATTGATTAATAATCAATAAATACTAATGATTATTGCAGCGATGAAATTGAAAAAAGAATTCGACGCTTGAAGTATAATCACACCTTCAACATTTAGTTGGACAGAGAATTGATCTGAACCATAATTATTTTGTACACGACATGTATAATTACCACTGTCCAATTCAGACAGTTTAGTTATGATTAAGCTAGAAACATCATCACCAAATTCGAGGTGAATATTTGATGTTTGTTCCATCAATTTCAAACCATTACGAAACCATTCAAATTGAAATGGTTCCATACCATTTTGTATGGAACAAACAAGACGAAATTTATTGCCAACATTCTGATTGATTTGATCACGAAATGAAGGCATTAATTGTGGTTCTGTATAAAATTCAATTAACCAAATTAAATATTCAGTAAATTTTTTAATATAAAAGTTAAGATACCTTGAGCCAATGTAAATGATAAACCAATAGTGGAGAATAGCCAAATATAAATGAATAAAATCATCATTTTTACCATAAACATGTTCAAAACTTGACTATCGAGATGAATATAAATAAACTAAATCTTATTGCCGGGAAATGAGAAAAATACCAACAACAAAAAAAAATTGAAACAGCGATCTATACGCCACGTTTTGGATATGAACAATAACAAACAAACAAACAAACAAAACTGAACTTAGATCAATCTATTTATCAATCTGCACATATTTATCCATCCATCTTAGTTGTAAGAAAATCAATCGTGGAAGTAATTTACCTTTTTTTTATATTTATTGATATTTTTTTGACAAGCAAACAAACTCATATTGCAAAGAATTGATTGAATGAATGAACATTTTTAATAATAATATACTAGTTTTTCATGCATAGTAATTTCCGGAGCAACGTGACCAATATTAAATTGAATCGATAGAAAGCCATATGATACATGATGAATGAAGCAATAAAATTCTACAAGCTTTTCTATATCAACAACAAACACGTAAATATGGAGTTGAAGATTTGCACACAAATAAAAAAATTCTTCGCAATAAGTTGATGAAAATATTCATAACAATTTTGGAACCAAAAAAAATAAGAAAAAAAAACATTTCGGCAAACCTTTAATTTCAAGTATAGTCGATTGAATATCATAACCAAAATGATTTTGAACTTTGCAGGAATAATTTCCCGAATCATTTTGTTGAAGTGTTTCGATTGTAAACACTGATGCATCATCAATCTGTTCGATATTGTAATGATTATTCGACAACGAAGCTGATGATGATGATAAAAGTGGATAATCATTTTTAAACCATTCAAATTGAAATGGTCGAACGCCGGCCAATGGATAACAGAATAATTTAAATTTTTGACCAATAGTAAATGATTCATTAGGTTTAAAATGACCCAATGAAGGTATTGTACATGATATAAAAGAAATGAATGTTGAAGATAAAATGATTGAAATTATCAACAAATACATAATGAAACAATAACAAAATTACATTCGAAAATAATAAAGTAATGAACATTTCTTATTAGGAACCACAAAGAAAAATAAATAAATAAATTGACATTCTTATTTTGTTTGTAAATAAAAATGCTGCCACACTTTGGTAAATATCTTTAACCGAGATCTCAACAACAGCGACAAAAAAAGATACTTGTGCAAATGAATTAGAAATTCAAATAAATGATGATACAATTGCTATCATTGTTAATACTACTACTACTAATAAGAATTTTCATTGATTGAATTTCAATCGATATCCATGTAATAGTTAATTACGTTCCGGAAGCCTAACAAATCAACAATTCGGATAAGGCTCATTTGTCGTCACTAATGCTAATTGCAAGCAATCAAAAATCAAATATATACACACAGAGTGAGACAAATAAAACTAAAGCAAGTACCGAAGAAATTCTCAATTTCTTGAGATCGACAACTATCAACATTCAACACACACACACACACACAACAATATAGCTAACCTTGTACAGTTAATACTGTAAATTGAATATCCGAACCAAAATGATTATAGACTTGACAGGAATAATTGCCTGAATCAAATGGTTCAACATTGAAGATGGTTAAAACAGATTCATCTGTAAGAATTTCTATATGATAACGATGTTGTTGTTGTTGATCATTATTTGATGAAAGAACATTGTCATTTTTTCGCCACTTAAATGATAATGGTTTGTTTCCGTATTGTGTAGTACACCATAGTTTGAATTTTGTTCCAATCATTTGTGATTGGCTAGATCTGAATGCAACCAATCGAGGAGCTATTTTTTTCCAATAAAGTCAATAGTGAAATAGTTAGTAATCATAAGATTAACATGATTTTTTGCCTTGTACCTGATGTTTGGTTGCATGAGATTATGCTAAAAAAGTTAAAACAGACAACTGAAAAAAATATCAACAATAATTGATGCATCATGATCAAATAACATCAGTGAAACAATTTACAGAATCATTCGTAATGAAACAATAATAATAACAATGATCAGAACGAACAACAACAACAACCAAAAAAAATCAAAATATCGAAAAAGGCGCCACACATGAATTCAGATTCAAAATGAATGAAAATACCTTTGATTGTTAATGAAACGGTTTTTGAATCACTACCATAACTATTACGAACAAGACATGTATAGTTGCCTGAATCATTCAATCTAATTTTATCAATTGAAAATAATGTATCATCTTCGGTAGTGGCAATAGTATACGATGTAAGCCTATCACCATAATGTCGTAATATTTGTCCATCTTTTAGCCATTCAAAATGTAATGGACGACTACCGGATGCTTGAAGATAGCAAAAGAATTTGAATTTGGATCCAATCAATAATGTTTGATTGTGAATATTTTCCGCTAGTTTGGGTGCTGCCAAAAAATGAGATATAAAAAAAATGGAATAAACGAAAATAAATGATGAAAAGAAATTCCTAGAAATGGAACATACCTTGATGATGAGCAAGAAGCTCGGACAACAAACAATCGGGTATTAACAAAAAGGGGATTAAAATGGTGACCGAAATCTCTCGAAACATCATGATGATAAAACGCACAAAATATTTATATAAAAAAAAAACAAACTACAATCAAAACGAATGGCAATTGTTTTGAATACCGAACAAAAAACGTATTGAAAAAAAATGAACAGGAACAAACAAATGGTGTAACACAATGCGCCACACATTGATTGTAATATGAATCGAATTTACAAAATAATTTCATATCGAATGTATTGATCATAGAATATAAATGGTTAGGATATGATATTTCTACATTGTGATAAAATGATAATACTGAATAATCGAACCTTTAACAACAACCATTGTTGTTTGTCTATCTGATCCGATTGAATTTCGTACCAAACACGTATAGTTGCCTGAATCATTTTCATTCAATTTTGTGATTGTCAATTCGGATTCATATTCATTCACATTAAGTTTATGATGATTTTCATCTGCTGAAGCAAAAAATTTTTGGCCATTCTTATGCCAAACAAATGTGAATGGTGGATCACCTTCTTGAACTGAACAAAGAATCTTAAGTCTAGTTCCAAGATTTTGAGATTGAATTGAAGGATGATAACTAAGTTTGGGTGGTAATCTTGCTAAATAAACGGAACTTAGACAAGAAAAAAACAAAATACACATAAATGACAACATTTTGATAGTCGATATTCGAAACAAAGTTAATCTAGTTTCAAAAACAATGTAAGTTTTTGTTTGTATCAAAATAGGTTTTTAGAATTTTAATAAATTTTTAAATAGTGTAAATACGCGCCACACATTGTTGGTAAATGAAAATGCAAACCTGTAACCATTAAACGAGTTGATTGCCGATCATAACCATAATCATTACGAACAATACATGAATATTGTCCCGAATTGATTGGTTTTACATGAGGTATGATGAATAATGATTGTTCATCATCAATGGAATCGATTCGATAATCTGTACTTGGATTGGGCAATAATTCATCATTGAATCGCCATTCAAACTGGAATGGTTTTGTTCCAGTTAATATGGTACACAAAATTGAAAATTTCGATCCATTATTAATGGTTCGAGATGATTTTATTTCGTCTAATTTTGGAGGATCAGCCAAAATTAAACCGAAAATTGTTAACAAAATATAAAAGAAGCAAATCATTTTGATATTCACACTAATGAAAAAAATAATTCAAAGTACGATTCTATGTTTGATCAACAACGAAAAAAAAATTGATCATAAATGAATGATACATATTAAGCGCCACATATTGTTATGAAACAGAAAATCGTTGTAACAAACAAACCTTTAACGATTAGAATGGTCGTTTGTGAATCAAAACCGAAATCATTTCTAACCATACAAGAATAGTTGGCCGAATCATGATCATTAAGATTGACTATAGTTAAAAGAGAATTATCTTCGGAAGTATCGATTTGATACTTGTGAACATGAGAATCGACCAATATTGGTCGATCATTTTTAAACCATTCAAATTGAAAAGGACTTTGTCCTTCATGAACTGAACAAAATAAATTCAATTTGGTTCCAACATTCTGTGAACGTCGAGGTACAAGTTCGACAAGTTTGGGTGGTGATTGTGAGATGACGGAAATGAATATTGACAAAAATGCAAAAATATAGAAAATCAACATGTTCGGCAACATTTTGATCTCATCCGAATGAAACATAAATGAATAAACAAATGCGAATGAAAACAAAATGAATGTTTTAAATTTCAAATAACTAAATATGCGCCACATATTGATGGCCAAAAGAAATTGTTGATGTGACAAACCTGTAACCGTAAGACGAGTTGATTGTCGATCGGAACCAAAATTATTACGAACCAAACAGGAATAAGTACCGGAATGTTTGCGATCAAGTTTGGCAATAGTCAATTGTGATTGATCATCATTAAAAGAATCAATTTTATATTCAGAAGCGATAGATGATTTAGAAAGCTGATGATCATTAAATCGCCATTCAAATTGGAATGGCTTCGTTCCCTCAAGTATAACACACAGTATCTTGAATTTTGCTCCATTCTTCAGCATTCGTGATGATTTAAATTCATCTAACTTTGGTGGAATGGCATTGATTGTAGAAATAATTGGAAAAATTATCAAAATAAAAGCACTAAAGATGAACATCATGAATAATTTTACAGTAAATAAACAGATTGCAAATCTTGTTACAATTCCTTCTAAAAAAATTGATAAAATTCATTTTGATATGACAAACAAAGCGCCACATATTGTTTTGAAATCAAAGAAAAACATAGGCAAACCTTTAACAATTAATATGGTTGTTTGCAAATCAGAACCATGATCATTGCGAACTGTACAGGAATAATTGGCCGAATCATTCAAATCCAAATTAGTAATGGCAAGATGAGAAGTATCATCATCTGAATCAATCTGATATTTATGATTATGATATTTGGTCGAAATTAGTTGATCGTTTTTATACCATTCAAATTCGAATGGTTTTTGACCTTTTTGTACGGCACAAAAAATTTTCAATCTTGTTCCAGCATCTTGTGATCTTTGTGCAATCGATTCACTAAGTTTTGGAGCAAGATTAGAAGCGGAAACCATATAAACAAAGAAAATAAATATGATATACATTGTGTTTTTAGAATTTTGACGATGAAAGAAAATATTAAAACACAGAGATTATAAGGATCATATGAAAAAATATAAAGGAAAAATGATATTTCAAGATTCAAATCAACAACAAAATATGCGCCACATATTGATCAGTAATGGAAATTCGTAAGAATATGATAAAAACAAACCTGTAACAGTTAAACGAGTGGATTGCTTATCAAAACCAAAATTATTACGAGCCGTACAAGAATAAATACCGGAATGTTTGCGATCAAGTTTCGCAACGATCAATTGTGATTGATCATCATTGAAAGAATCAATTCGATGATCGGAAGCAGTAGATTTGGATAGTAGCTGATCATTGAATTGCCATTCAAATTTGAACGGTTTTTGACCTTCTTGTATCGCGCAGAGAATGGTTAACTTGGTTCCAATTTTAGACAATCTTATCGGTTTAAATTCATCCAATTTTGGTCGATTTGCATCGATTGATTGAAGTAGGAAAAGAAAACTGGTTAATGCAAAAACAAACATTGTAAAACTTTCAAAGTATTTCGGAATATAACAAACAAAAACATTGACATGAAAAATAAGGAAAAAAAAGTTAAGAATTTTTTGAATTAGACCTTAGGATTAAGCGCCACATATTGTTATGAAATTGAATAATATGTTTAAGGCAAACCTTTAACTTTTAAAATAGTTGTTTGGCTATCAAAACCAAAATCATTACGAACAATACAGGAATAATTGGCAGAATCTTTTGCATCAAGATTCAAGATTGCTAAATGCGATGTATCATCATCAATATCGATTTGATATTTAAAAGGTTTCATCGATATTAACTGATCATTTTGACGCCATTCAAATTCGAATGGTTTTTGACCTTCTTCAGCAAAACATGTTATTTTAAATTTTGATCCAGCATTCTGGAAACGTAAAGGCAAAATTGCGCTGAGTTTAGGTGGCAATTCCAATGATGGTGAAACAAAACAACACAGAAAAATCAGAAATATTGAAAGTGAAATCATATTTGGTTCAGTTGACTTTCAAACATGCAAATTCAATTCTGAAAACATAGACGAACTAAATCTAAAATATTGAAAAAAAACAATATCGGCTTTTGATAATTGAAACTTTTTTTTACGAAACCGTATGCGCCACACATTGATGGCTAATGGAAATTGTAAATAAGACAAACCTGTAACCGTGAGATAAGTAGTTTGTCGATCAAAACCAAAATCATTTCGGGCAATACATGAATATGATCCTGAATGATTTGCATTAAGTTTAGAAATTGTAAATCTAAATTGATCATCTTCAATCTGATCGATTCGATAATCTGAATTTGTTTTGGCATTCAAAAGATGATCATTAAATTGCCATTCAATTTCAAATGGTGGTGAACCTTCAAGTATTGTACAAAGGATAGTAAACTTTGTTCCTTCTTTTAGATTTCTATTTGCTTTGAATTCATCTAATCTGGGACGATTGGCCAATGTAAAACCGAGGATTAACAGAAAAATAAAAAACAATGGACAAAAATGATTACGATGCATGGTTATTATTATTATGAAACATAAGATGATTAACACGTATCGAGAAATGTGTACAAAATTTCATAAACTTGGAATAAAACAAATCAATAGTTTCAATTTGAATCTGCATATTAAGCGCCACATATATGTGAAAAATAGAAAAACAATTTCAAACCTTTGACAATCAAAATGGTTATCTGGCTATCAAAGCCAAAATCATTACGAACTGTACATGAATAATTAGCAGAATCATTGATATTTAAATCGATGATTGTTAAACGAGAACTATCATCTTCCGAATCAATTTGATATTTTTGATCGAGATCTGAACGAATAATTTGATCATTTTTTCTCCATTCAAATCGAAATGGTTTTTGGCCATCTTCGACGTAGCAAGAAACTTTAAATCTGGTTCCAATATTTTGAGAACGTCGTGGTGCATGTTCACTTAGTTTCGGAACCGATTGTAGGGTAAAGGAAATACGAAAACAAACGATAATCAATAAAATTCGAGTTAACATGTTGAAATGCAATGTTGTTCAAACCAAAATACAAATGATCATTTTTTTGCTTAAAAGATTGCAATAAATGATTGAAAAAATTGATTCAAAATAAAACATTATGCGCCACATATTGTTAGACAATGAAAATTCGCAAACCTGTAACTATAAGATGGGTGGATTGTTTGTCGAAACCAAAATCATTACGTGCAATGCATGAATAGGTTCCGGAATGTTTTGGATTAAGTTTCGCAATGGTTAATTGAGATTGGTCATCATTGAATGTATCGATGCGATAATCTGGTGAGAATTTCAAGAGTTGATCATTGAATCGCCATTCAAAAATGAATGGTTTCTGACCATCTTGAACCAAACAAAATAATGCAAATTTTGTTCCATTCTTTTGACTATGATTAGATAAAAATTGGTTCAGTTTGGGTGAATTAGCCCAAATCAACTGGAATTTTAAACAACACAAAAGTAAAAAATATTTCAGATAAGACATTTTGATCAACACTATCGAAGGTAAAAGAATTAAATGTTAAAAAATAAGAATAAAAAGTTGAAAACAAGAGAAAACGTTTAAAAATTGGTAATGGATTAAGCGCCACACATTGTTACGAAATTGAATTCGTTTTAAACGTGGAAAAAAACTCAAACCTTTAACAATTAGATTGGTTGTTTGACTATCAAATCCATGATCATTACGAACTTTACATGAATAATTAGCAGCATCAGTTTGGTCAAGATTAGCTATGGTAAGATGAGATGTATCATAATCCGAATCAATTTGATATTTATGATGATGATGATTAGCAAGAATCAATTCATCATTCTTAAACCATTCGAAAACAATTGGTTTTTGGCCATCTTGAATAAAACAAGTAATCCCAACTTTTGTCCCGGCATTCTGTGAACGACGAAGAATTTGTTCACCAAGTGTTGGTGCAAGTTTTGTTGATGATACAAATTCAATGAAAATAAACAAATATAAAATCCAAAACATGTTGTCGGTTTGAATCAAAGATCAAATGCAACTGGCAAATAAAAATACAATGATGAAAGTTTGGAATTTTAAAAGAATTCTTTTGGAAAAACTAAACTGTATAATGCGCCACATATTGATGGGAAATGCAAACCTGTTACAATTAATCGTGTTGATTGTTTGTCGTGGCCAAAATCATTGCGTGCAATGCAGGAATATGTTCCAGAATGATTAGGATGAATATCATCAATAGCAAACAATGAACTTTCATCGCTAATCATTTCGATTCGATATTTTTGATTCGATAATGATGATGATGATAAAAGCTGATCATTGAATCGCCATTCAAACTGTAAAGGTTTGGTTCCTTCATAAATTGAACAAAACAATGTCAACTTGGTTCCATTTTTCAATGATCTCGAAGTTTTAAATTCATTCAATTTTGGTGGTTGACACAAAATTAAACCGAATATAGAAAAATTCAGGAAAATAATCAATAAAAACCAATATGTAGACATGATCAAACACAAGGATCGTGAAAATGAAGACAAGTTTACAATGTAAATGTTAAAAGAATATTTTCGCTTTCAGTGAAAACTAATGTAAATCAAAATTACTTTACAAAAAAAATCTAATGACAAACTAAGCGCCACATATTGTTACAAAATAAAATTGGAATCTGTATCAAACCTTTAACAATCAATGTAGTTGTTTGAGAATCAAAACCATAATCATTACGAACTAAACAGGTATAATTAGCCGAATCTTTTTCATCAAGTTTCCAAACAGTCAATACAGAAGTATCATCTTCAGAATCGATTCGATATTTATCACCGAAATTGGACAATATATGCTGATCGTTTTTATTCCATTCAAACGTGAATGGTCGTTGTCCTTTTTCAATTGAACACAATAATTTCAATTTAGTTCCAGATTCTTGAGATCTTCGAGAACTTTGTTCACTAAGTTTTGGTGGTACATGACTGAAATGTGCGATAGACACAAACGAAAACAGAAAAATCAATGAAATTATTCGAAACATGATAATGTTCACAGTCGAAAGAATCCGAATGATTTAAATATCAGACAAGCAAAAAAAGACATGGAATCCAGAAAAAATATCTCAACATTCAATCAAAATATTAATTCAAACTTGTAGAAATATGCGCCACATATTGTTAGAAAAACAAGACAATTACCAATTTCAAACAAACAAACAAAATATCAAACCTTTAATATCCAAAGCGATTGATTGTGAATCACTACCGGCATCATTACGAACATGACAGGAATAATTTCCATGATCATTCAATAATAATGAATCAATTGTCAATTGGGATTCATCTGAACGAGTATCGATTCGATAATGGTGATGAGAAGGATTATCTTTATCAGATATAACAACGCCATTTTTATGCCAACGAAATTTCAATGGCAGTGTTCCTTCTTGAACAATGCATAAGATTTTAAATTTTGTTCCAATTTTTTGCGAACGGTGTTGCTTGAATTCGGCAATTTTCGGTCGAATCCCATTGCAAAATGCCGAAAAAATAAGCGAAAAAACAATGATCAATTTCAAGATGAAAAACATTGTTGGTTAACATTTGTAAGATTATACAGACACAAGGAATGAAATCGAAATGAAAGATTTTAATTTTGGCTGAAATTGTAATAAATATTCAAGACATCAAAATCGACAAACTAATGCGCCACATATTGAGACCGAAACAAAATGATCAAAAAAAAAACAAACACACACAAACCTTTAACCGTCAGAATCGTTGATTGAATATCCGAACCAAATTGATTTGAAACATGACAGGAATAATTTCCTGAATCATTTGACGATAATTTATCGATTACAAGAATAGATGAATCATCATCAACATTATCAATGTGATAATGATAGTTGGCCATAATTTGTGCCAATGGTTGACCATTTTTTCGCCATTCAAATCGTAATGGTTTGGAACCATCAAGAATACCACACCATTGTTTAAATTTACTGTCTACATTGTGAATTTTTTCACGATGAAATTTATCTAATTTTGGTATGATTTGGGTGTACACCGAGCTTATGAATAACAAACCAAGAATAAAGTATAGTTGCATGTTTTTTTTCAATTTGATTGCAACATGAAAACAAACAGATCAAATGATTTGAATATCAGAGATACGAATAAAAACGTAAGAAAATTTAATGAAAAAATATTGAAAAAAATATGAAACTAAAGAAATGATGCGCCACATATTGGTTGGAAAAATAAAACAACAAAAAAAAGAACAATCAACTAAAATTCTGAGACAAACCTGTAACGATTATTTGTGTTCGTTGTCTATCCATACCATAAGAATTTCGTGCTATACAGCTATAGTTTCCGGAATCGTTCGAACCTAATCGTTCCATTATCAGCATAGAATCATCATCACCCAATGTTTCGATACGATAGTTGACATTTTTCAAATTTGCCAATAATTGTCGATCATTTCGATGCCATTCAAAACGGAATGGTTTTGATCCATGTTGAATTGTACAAAAGATTTTAAGGTTACTATTGAGACTTTGATAAAATTTTGGAATAATTGGTTGTAATTTTGGCGCAACATTGGCTTCAACAATTGAAATGAAAATTAAGAGATGAATCACGATAAATGATTTGATCAACATTTTGAACATACGAATTCAAAATTGAAATGAAAGTTGAATGACAATATTCAGCAAAATAATAGCTTATGATTTTAGAATAAGAAATGAAAATTAATTGAAACAAAGATTTATGCGCCACATACCGTTTCGAAATGAAAAATACAAAATATCATTGGAATTTGAAGAATTAATAAAAATGGTATGTTGAGTGCTTTAGATCATTGAGAATCGTTGTTTCTTTCTGGATAATTCAGAAATTTTTATCTAATTTACTTGTCTGAAACAATTTCGATAAGTTTTGTTTCTTTTGAACGAAAACTAAACATTTTTTTGATGATCGAATAACAAGAAATAATATCTGACAACTTATCAAGATTGAAATATAATATAAATGAAATATTGAAAATAATTACAGATATTTCTATCGGTTTGATTTCAATTATTTTTTGAACTCAAATTGACAAATTGTAAAAATAACAAATAATTTTTGTTTGCCATCAAAATTCGAACAATATTCGATCATTCAAATTCCTTCCGAATTGTTTTTTTTTCACATTTTGACAATCGATTAATCGCGATTGTGCTCAATCGATATTTTGACAAAATATTCTGTTCATGTTGTTTTCAATTCTTGGACAGATTCTGTGATAATTTGTTTGAAATTATGTAATTCTAATTTCTTTAAAAAAAAGATTTTTAGCAATGATATAGGAAAAATAAATGAGAATAAATGTCTCATTTATTTCGTAAGGTCGTCCTTTTTCTCGTCTTTTTAATCGCCGTCCTTCAGGTAATTCGATCCAAGATGTGATTTTGTATCTTTATTAATGTCAATTTTTTTAACCTAGATAATTCATATGACATTGATGTCCCGTTTGGAATCACGAACGAATAACATCAAGAAGAATCATTTGAATAGACAAAGAAAAAACAGTGATAACCATGAAGAATTCAAAAATACAAACAATAATAATGAACAGAATGTTCTTTATTCAATTGATCAGGTTGATATTGAACGTGAAAAAATTTATAAATCATTACAATCATTGAGTTCGGTGCTAGATTCATCCGGCGAATATCGAATTCTTCATTTTATATCGACAGCCGATTTGTTGAAAAATTCAAGATGGCGTTATTCGATCGTCAACAAATTGGATACATTAGACGGAAATCATTTGTACAAGAAGAATGATTTGTCCATTGCAACCCATTCGACAGTTACACAATTGTACAATTTGGATTTATTATCTCGCATTTGGAATGGTCCAATATCTTTGGCCATATTTGCAGTATCAATACAACAACTTCCAATTGTAGTTGAAACAATTCTTTTACTACGTTATTGTAACCCGTCGATACGTCAGCGTACGAGCTTTCATCTAGTTTATCCATTAAATTTTTCTTCAAAATTAAACAATCATCAAGTTCGTAGTGTTTTGGATTTTCTTCGATGGCCCGAGATAAAAAAATTATATCCCGAATTTGATCGATTTGTTCAAAAAGAAAACTGTGGCCATATAAAACAATTAATCGAACAGATTGATCAAAAAGGTGATCATAATTTTAGTCAAAAACAACAACAATCTTCATTTGCTAATAATTACAACCATCATGTGCCATATCCAAATAATCTACTACGTAACATTGCACGCCGCTATTCACTTACGGAATATACTCTAGTCATAGATATTGACCTGGTGCCATCAAAATTATTGTATGAAAAATTTCTCGAATTTATACAAAATTCACGATTGTTCAAAGATACAGATTTTTTAAATAATGATAAACAATTACGACAGTCCCCGAACACATTCGATGATAATCGAACTGGAAAAAATTCTGATGTTCTAATCGTATTTGTACTGCCTACGTTTGAAATTGATCTTGAATTAGCTCGAAAACAACACAAACATCTTGGTGTTGAAGATATTGATCAAATTATACCCACTGACAAAATCAATCTTATTCATGCCATTGAACAACGATATGTAAGACCATTTTATATTGAACTTTGTTGGAAATGTCATAAATATACCGAATATGAAGCATGGTTACATTCTCATCGATTAGTCAACTATTCTAGTCCAAATTCAAGCTATAATGATGATAAATTACAAATTCTTTACCAAGTTCAATGGCATGATCCATGGGAGCCATTTTACATAAGTCGTAATAATGTTCCATTTTATGATGAAAGATTTAGGCAATATGGTTTCAATCGTATTAGTCAGGTAATTATTGTAATTGATTATTACCGACATTTAATCTCTGTTTTTTTCTCAAAATAGACGTGTGAATTAAACATGGCCGGTTATCAATTTGCTGTGCTCAACGATGCCTTTCTAATTCATCGAGGATTTAAAACAACTGACGATTTTCATCCTACTAAAGATGCCGAACTTGAACATAATCGAATATTGTATAGAAAATTTAAATTACAGCTAAAAGAACGATATTCATATTCAGGTAGAAAATGTTGAATATCGATTCTGCGGTGGGATTTTACCGTGATACATTACATATCAATCCTATCCTATATGCCAATATTTAGTCATAATTGTCGAGTCACTGTTACATGCACAAATTCAAATCAAATTCCCATATCATGAACTGAAATAAATTTAATTTTAATTTTAATACTTTACCAAATCATCATTATTAAGTGATTCAGAAAAAACCTTATGCATTTTTTTATTTAAATTTCGAGTTTTTAAAATGATTTTTTTTGTTTGAAATAAAGTGTGGCTATTGAAACATTTTCGTTTTTAAAGAACATAAATTAGAATATTAATATGTATCAATTCGAAGGTGATAATGCGAAAAAAATAAATGTTCATGATTTGATTATTTTCATATATCCATGCAAGCTGGCCTTGAAACTGACATCGGAATAGGATCACAATTGGTTTCATTTAGAAACACTAATAACCGTAATAATTATGGCCAATATTATCAAAAATATCAGGATCATGATGATTTTCTTTTTTCGTGCTCGTCTCTACAAAAAGGAAAATTTTCAATCAAAAAAATTCAATCAAAAATAATAAGATAACTTACAGAATAATCACTAGCTTTAACCAATTGCTCATTTCCTTCATGAATTTGAATATTTGTTGATTCAATATTTGCCTCGATACTATCAATAATTTCACCTTGATCATGAACTAGTGTGGCCAAATCTTTGAATATTTGATTAACTTCAACAATATCGGACTCAATTTTACGAATTGCTTGTTCCCGCTCCTGTAATAATTGGATGTCAACATCCTCTTCAATATGCAATTGTTGCTGTTGTGAAGGTGGTTGACTTGGTGCCTGAAATGATTGCGGACTAATTTTGATTTTAAAAATTTGTTCATTTCTGATAATAATTCAAATACCTTTGCAAATCGATCAAAGCTGATTTATTCGAATCATTTATATGCGAATTTGCTCGTGCACGAATAACACTTTCTTTTTCTTTTTGTGCAGCCGTCCTTTGAATAACCTGAAAATTTTTCAACGCTTCCGAAAAATCATTCGTCAAACGTTCTTTTTGCATCCGTCGTTGTTTTTGTTCGGATGCTATTCCCGATGCCGGAATGTTTGCCAATTCTTTTAGGCTTTTATTTGTATCTCGAGCTACTTGATTGGTATAATGTTGAATCTGATGTCTGAATAGTTTGAAATTATTAGAATCATTTCAACAATGATCTCTTATAAAATACTTACAATTGCGAGCGAAGATTTTCCGAATCTTGTGGAGTACCCAACTGATTGACCATTCGCTGCAATTGACTGACTGAAAAAAAAGATGAATGAAGATCAAAACGACAACAAAAAATTAATTCAATTACCATTGTTTGAAATTTTCTGTACATTATTGGCTACAATTTGAGCCAATTTAGGAAAATCTTGGAATCCATCGAATCCACCACCACCACCAGTATTGCTGGTCGATTGATAATTGTTAAAACTCATTTTGATGAACAAAAATTAACCGATCAAGATTTTTTTTTATTTCAGCAAAAATTAAAAAAAAACAGAGTAAATATTACGCCTAAAAACAAACGATGATAGCGATCAACACAAACAATGATACAATTGTCAAATTACAATAAACAATATGTTTATGATGATGATTCAGGATAATGGAAGATAAGTCAAAAACTAATAAAATGATTCAAAAAAAATTTTGACACTATCAATATCGATGACCTTTGCCTTTAATGATCAGAATAATATTTATCAATTTTCGGAAAATAACATTCGAATTTTTTTTTCTTTTACAACACCAAATGCAATTCGAATGTATACAAAATCATTTTATTTTTTTTTTGAGTCATTTCAACACAACCAATTTAATTGACGTCGTCGATATATAAAGAGACAGCTGTAATCATTCTTTTTGCGCAAACGCAATTCGAATACAGCAAAAATCGAACGATGTGGGAGGATTCACCGATCTATTCAAATGAGCTTTTTTCCATACATTAAAAGTTGAATGTATAACTTTGCGATGTATAAACAGTTTTTTTCGAATATATTTGAAAAAAATAAATTTTTATTAAAAAAAATTTAATTTAATTTATCAAATTTTCATTTATGTTTAAATTTTGAACTGTTCATTTTCATTGTCATTGCTTTTTTGTTAGCCATTTTTTGTTTTCGCATTTTGAATGTTGTCATCTTTTTGTTATTCTTTTTTCGTGGATCCTTCATCATCATTTTAATAATTTTTGATTTTTGCTTCATCTGACTGATTGCCATCTCATCATCATCACCATCATCATCAATTGTATCATGACCAAATTTCGATGATGATTGTTTGTCATCGTCATGATTATTATTATTATCAGCCAATATAGAATTGGAAGTATCATTTGAGATCACGAACTTTTGTTTTGTTACTGCATCAGATTCGAGAATTTCAGGTTCAATGTTTTTGGATTTTTTTGTTGCTTTAGCAAGACAAGATTTCAATTCTTCTTTTGAAATTTTGAGCTCTGGCAATGTAAAACCTTGCTCTGTGTTAGAAGTTATTAAAGAAGTCCAAACGGCCATACAAGTCGGTCGACAAGTACTGTCAACTTTGGCGATTAAAGTCGGCTTTTCTGTCAACTGAAAAAAAGAACAAATTAGTTGAAAATGTCAGAATATCAAATTTGTAATTCAAACTCACGTCATCAAAATTGAACAGCCAAATTTTGATGAAACCATCACTTGAACAGGTAAGAAGCCAACGCTGATGTGATTGTCGTTGCGTTTTATCAATCAATTCGGATAATTTTTCATCCAATTCCATTCGATTCAAATCGATTAATGTTAAATCTTTGATACGATTTTCATGTGCTTTTTCAATTCTATTAATAACTTTTTTCATTTCCAAATCATATACTATTAAATCGGGTGAATCACTAGTGATTATTATTCGATTATCCTATTTTTTAAAGAAAAATTCAATTAATTCCATCATTCAAACAAAAAATTCATTTTAAACTTACATCTAAATATACAATCTTGTTGAATCGTTTACCAATCAAACCAATATCTTTTTGTGAAATATGAAATTTAATCGATCCATTACTTATATCATATACATCGATATGGGTATCAAATATGATGGCAAAATATAAACATGAAGGAGACCATAATACTTGATGGCCAACTTCTTTAAGATTGACAATATATGCACATCGTCCTTTGATTAGATTCCATGTTCTTAATGTCAGATCTTTTGATATTGATAGTAATAGTTTACCCGATGGATGAACATTAATGGCTGTAACTGCATCTTTATGGCCACGTAATACTTTCTCTAAATTCCATATTTTTCCTGCTGACCAAATTGAAATTGTTCCATCATCGGATGCCGAAAATAAATATGATGTTCGTAAAAACTCTAATGCTGTTATCGTTCCTGAATGTGATATTAATGTTCCGGTTTCACAACGATGACGTATATTTATTAAATTGATACGTTCATCTATACTGCCTGAAGCGATATATTTATTTGATGATGCTAAACATCGAACACTTCCACTATGGCCATGATTGGTAAAACTTTGTTCCAACAGATATTCATTTGATAAATCATTTTGTTCTTCCTGAAACGAAGGAAAAAAAATTTAAAATATTAGATGTTTATAAATGAGCTGATTAACGATTATATCTAATCAAATCTAAGTAGAAATATTGGATCAATAGAAACTCGATATAATAGTCGATGTCGTGTCTCTTTTTTTCTCATGAGATCACGAAACTCACCTGTATCGATGATCGTTTTTTCAATTGAAATCCAACAAGAAACTCTTCATATGTTCCAATAATTATCTCCATTTTTGTTTTGTTTTAGTAATTATTATTATGTAATAATTATAGACAACAAGACGACGATTACGAATGCTTGTTCCAAAAAAACTAGTTTGGAACACACGATGTAACATTTAAACACGTGTGATGATAGTATGTTTGTGTGTGTGTGAGTGTGGCTGTTTTGCGTTCACGTAATCAGGTCAGTCAATATAGTCATGATAAATGCAGTGGCAACTTGTTTTTTTCCAATCTGAAAATTTTTACTCATTCGCGAATAGCACGGTTGATTGCCTTGAAATTTTTTGCTATCATTTTTCATTCCCGACGTTTTTTTCAATATATTTTTTACGAAGCTAATGTTTCATGTGTTGCGAAAATCAATTTTGTTTCAAATAATTTTGTGGGTTTATTTATTTCTCAATAATCATCATCATCGATAGCAAAAATAAAAACATTGGAGAATCAGTTTTTGGCTTTTTTATTTGTTTTAGTTTTTTCGTAAATTATAGCTTTTAATACCAGATAACGGTATTAATATGGATTCAAAAGTGGCTCAAAATCGTAGCGGTAAGTTATATCTGATATTTCATAATCAATTCAATTTTACATTACACAAATTAAAACATATGAAATCGAAGTAATTATTCATCTTTATTTTCTCTTTTTATAATTTATCTTTCTCTTTTTTTGTTTTCGTAAAAGAAAATTATATTAAAAGTTGTTTCTTTGAACATTTGAAATATGATGGAAGGAAAGATAATTTTCTCAACTTAAATGTATATTTGTGTGTGTGTGAAAGTATCCTTATATTTTTTTCAATTTTTGCCTTGGATTTATCGCTTGTTGCTTATTGGCGCGTTTTAAATTAAAAATACGACTGACGTTTATTCGTCATCGAAGACCATCGTTCAATCGTTTTATTTGATAAAATGTTGATATGATTGCGGATTTACTCCGTACACACGCACACTCTTGTTTTAGTTTTTTTCCAATGGTTGATATATGTGTGATATCTTCTCCAATAATGATAGATACATTTCCTATATTTAGTTGGAATTTTGTTTACGAAAAATTTCATTTTTAAAAACCCAAAATTGAATTATTTTAAAATGAGATTTCTTTGATATTGCTTTTTTTCTCTTTCACTCTTCGTGTGTTTGTGTATTTCAATAATAATATTTCAATTTTAAAATCTCATCATTATTTGGTGGCGAATATTTGTTTGATCTCATCAAGCTTTTTATCCAAATTGTTTTTCATTGAGATTAACGGCTCTTCGTTTAATTCGGATACTTATAAGTGGTGATTTGTCAAAAAGAAAACTAATGGCCACAATGTTCAATAATGATTTTGAAAAACAGTTATGTTCAAATAAAGATAGCGGAATATTACGATGGGCTGTAAATACAAATCGCTGGCAACCGACACGTACAGAATGGCTAACAGCAATGCGTTTGGTCGGTAATGATCAAGAACGTAATCGTATTAATCGATATGTTTATAAAAAAGATGCTAAACATGCTTTAGTCGGCCGTCTACTTATAAGAAAATGTTGTGAACATTTTGTTGGAAATAGAAGATTTTGTCTGTATTCTTCAAATAATGATTCGGAATCAACGATTGTTGATAATGAAGATCAATTAATACTCAAACGAAGTGATAAAGGAAAACCGATACTTATTGAAAGTAGGTGAAACAATGAACAAAATTTTAATTAAAAATTAATAATACAATCAATCTTTTTTATTTGTTACAGTCGATTCCAATGGTAATCACATACCTTTTCAAGATTTTCAATTTAACATATCACATTCGGGTGATTATTGTGTACTTGCTGCAGATTCTAACACAACTAAATTAGGCATTGATGTGATGAAAGTTGAATATTCCGGCGGTATGCATAAACTTGATGATTTTTTCAACATTATGCGTAAACAATTTTCTGAAGATGAATGGAAATATATTCGTCAATCAACAACAGATTATGGACGATTAGCTCGTTTTATTCGACTATGGTCATTAAAAGAAAGTTTTGTAAAAGCAGAAGGAAGTGGTATCATATTTCCACTATCGAAAATTAGTTTCGTTTGTCCTAGTGATCTTGTCATGCCTAGTCAAAAGAGTCGTTTTGATACAATTGTCAAAGTATTTAATGGCAATAACAATAGTCAGCCAACATTAGGCGATTGGATATTTGAAGAATCAATGATTGATCCAAAACATTATGTTTGTGTGGCTAAATTGTCTAAAAATTCAAATTCTGGAACATTGAATACGGATCCAGATTATCAATTTCGAATGTTGTCCATTAAAGACCTCATTCCTGATTTTCCTTATTCTGACCTACATTCGTATGAAGATGAATCCTATTGGATTGATTTTTGTCAAAAATCCTAATTTAAAAATTTAATAAAATACTTTTGCACTTACTTATAATTGGAATTTTTTTCACTATAAATTTTTCTTTCTTTTTTTTTATCTCAATCAACGATTATTTTAAATGACTTTTAATATCAAAGAATCAGAAGATAAGATTCGGTTACAAATTGAACTTGAATTCGTACAATGTTTGGCCAATCCAAATTATCTGAATTGTAAGTATAATGTATAGAATAATAATTCAGCATGATTTAATGAATAATCCTCTTGTTTACTATGAAAAAAATAGTTTTAGCTCAGCGTGGATATTTCAACGACAAATCATTCATTAACTATCTTAACTATCTACAGTATTGGAAACGGCCAGAGTATGCAAAATTCATCAAGTAAGGCTTATCTAAATAATTATAATGTCCCTAATCTTTTTTTTGCTTTAGATATCCAATGTGTTTGCATTTTCTTGATCTCTTACAGCATGAACATTTTCGACGTGAATTGACATCGACACAATGTGCAAAATTCATTGATGATCAAATTTTATTACATTGGCATCATTATGCTCGAAAACGGACAAAATTATTTCAATCAGTTCAACATAATAAGCAACAATTGAATAACAATCAAGGACAAATTGGCTCCAATCAAAATTCAAACAATATGGGCAGCCTCAATAATAATACATCGATACAAGAACATTCCATGGCCACTAATAATAATAACGCATCATTGATTATCAATGGTCATCTTAAATAATGATAGGATTTGTACACGAAAATAAAAATTCTTAAGAAAGCACAAATTTTTATTCAAAATAAAAAATATATATTCAAATTTACCCATCGATTACACTATCCTTAAATGCATGCCAATCCTCTTTGGCAGATTGATAATCATCACGTTTACGTCGCCTTAGAGCATTAGAATCGCCTTTTACATTCTTTTTTACATTGCCAGCTATTTTAATTCGTTGTTTTGTTTCACGTTTACGTTGTTCTTTTAATAAACGGGATTTGATCATTTGTGGATTAAATGTACTTGATGTCGTTGAATAAACATCATCCTGATCATTATGATTTAATGTGTTTGAAATCTCTACATCTGCATTTTCATCGAAATCATCGGCGTTTTTTTCTTTCATTGATGTTGGAGCCAATTTTGCCAATCTTTCATCAAGAATTTTTATTTCTTCATTAATATCTTGATTATTCTTTGAGCTATAATATGAATTTGATGTGGCATTACCATCATCGATTGTGGTAGATTTATAATCATTATGATCGATGTTATCCTCATTGTTAGTAGAACATAAACTATTTAAAAATTTTGAAAGTAGTTCACTTTTTCCATCCTCCATTGATGAACTTTTGGCGTCTTCAGTTATTTTTGGCATATGAACAGAATCTAATGTTTTTTCATTTGCGCTATCAAATGCATCAGCCAGTTGCTGAAGGTCGGTTGTAGTGATCTGATCAAATGGCTCAAATACCGGTATCGATTCTGATTCATAATGAAAACGTTTAGCAAAAAAATCAACAATACAATCGCGGTCACGATCGAAATATTCTTGCGCTAATTCATGGTGAACGGAAATCATTTGTGGAAAATCGATTAGAATCGGATCCAATGGTTCGTCTTTATTCTTTCGTATCATTATGTTAAATTCATTAAAATCACCGTGAACTACACCAAATTCGTTGGTCAATTTCATCATTAATGACATTAATTTTTCATATAATAATTCGATTTGTTGTTGTTCATTATCATTATCTAAATAAATTTGATTCAATATAATACCGTCTATCAATTCCATAACAATACAATGTCGATTCATATCAATTGGTTCCGGTACGGGTAAAAGTTTTTGTTCGTATAATAGTTTCATGAAAGCAAATTCACGTGTTGCTGCCAAACGAGATAGATAAATCCAACTGGCTGTTTTGTGACTTTGACCACGTCGTTGATAATAATTACGTTTCTCTGATACCCTTCGAAAACATGTACGACCTAATCGATGGAATTTGATTGCAAATTGTCGACCATCATCGTTAGAACAAATATAAACATCAGATTCTTTTCCAACGCCTATTTGTTGACCAATCGAACTGATTACACCTGAAATCAAAAAAATTAATAATAATTTGGATTAAACTAAACAATTACCTCTACTGCGAAGTACATTCAATGCAAGATAATCATAACCACGATATGTTAAACGATAACCATCAAATCGTTTACCACGTTCATATGAAAGTAATTGATTTTTGGACAAATTCATAAGAATTTTTGAAACAGATCCATTTTGTATTCCCGAAATAGAATAAACAAGACTTCGAGGAACAAGTTCATGATTTCTCATGCCCATTTCGATGGCTGTGAGTACACGAAAATCTTCTTTATCAAGATAACGAAGTAATGATACATCTAATTTAACCATTTTTATTTATTTTGTTTTTTTTCATAAATAAAAAATAAAAAAATTGAAATTTGCCTGAAAAAAAACATGTGGCAGTGGCTGGAGCTATTCATAAAACGCGTTCGTCGTTCTTTTCATCCCTTTCCGAATCAACTAATGAATGAATCTCGAATGAATTCAAACTGATCAATGCATGTTTCATTTATCAGCAAAATTCAATTCAAAATTTTTTTTTTGTTTAATTTCGTTTACAATGAAAATTCTTTGTCGAAAGACAATAAAATTTACAATCACTATGTGTAAATAAATGAATTGATATTGAAAAAAAACGACAAAACAAAAAATTGATTTTTTGACAAGTCGCCGAGAAATTTAACGACGGTGGTGTGTAGAAAAACAAAACAAGAAAATTGTTTATTCAATTCAGGCCTATGTTCATTTTGAATTCATTTTCGTTTCGTTTCGTTTTTTTGTTCAAATTGTTTATTCATATAATTTTTTTTTTCGATATAAATATCAATCATCGTTGTTGATAATCATCGATTCATTCGGGATAGAATTTTTGATGTTTGATAATAATAATAATATAAGCTGTTATTTTTATGACGATAGCAATAACGAAAAAAAAAATTGAAATTGAACTTCAAATGAATTTCATTCGTCAATTGACAGCTTGAAGATGATGTTTAAAATAAGAGGGTAAAATTGATGCTACAAATTTCTTTGCTTCATTTTTTTTCGCTCCCGAAATCATCATTTAAGGAGAATGCGCACCTTCTACAAATTCTTTTTGGTTCAAAGATGAATTCAATTTACTTTCAGAATCATTACACAACACAAAAACTTCTGCGGGTATCTTCATTCATTGATAATTTTAACTTCAATGACGACAGTCGTGTTTGTTGCAACAACCACCATCAATAACAAAAAAAAAACGAAACAAACATTCCTATGAGATTTTTTTTTAATCTTGTCATCGAATTTCAATTGAATCTCATTTAAATCATTTAATTTTCAAAAAAAAAAGATTATTTTCTTCTGTATGTCCAAGGTATGTATATTTTATTTTTATTTTTCTACAATCATTCACATGACTTTTTTTTGAATTAATTTTTCTTTAACATACAAAAATTTGTCGTCGTTGTTATTGTTGATGGTGGTGGTGGTTTTTTTCAATTTTCTATTGTTGATATTTGGATTTTTTTCTTTTTGTTTGGTTATGTAAATAATAACATGTAGTTTGGTTTGAGGGTGTTTTTTTCTTCTATCTCTTGGATAACAAGATTAACGATGAAAAATTTTTAAATATATTAAATTATAATATTCGGATGATAGAATTGTGTTATTTTTTTTTTAATCATAATCGTTGACTTTTTTCTAATCAAGTCTATGAGTGAAGAGTTTCTTTTTGAAAAAATGTCCCCCTCTCATTATCTATTTAATCAAAAGTTCTGTTTGGCCTAGTTTCACTTCCATCACTGTAATGCTTGTTGTGGTCATCAATTTTAATTTAACTTGATGATCAAAATTTATTACAGGGGATCATATTTTTGTTTGTTTGTTTTGTTCGGGTGTTATCTTCCCAAAAAAATTAATTTATTCACTTTTTTTCAAAATATTTTTTACTCTCATTAATTCATTAATTCATTAATGTTGTTGTTGTTGTTGCTATGGACAAAAGTTGTTTTTTTTCAACTTTTTTTTTGACTCTCATCAACTATAGGTTGACAAAAAAACAATAGATTCTTTTATCCAGAAAATTATATTGTAAATTGTATGCATTCGTGTGTATTTGGTTATGGCACGTTTTTTCGACAGATGCTATGCAATCATGATCATGAATAACAATCTAAAGAATGACGAAAAAGAAGAAAACAAAAAAAAAAAAAAATCTAGGAATAATATTGATTCTGTTTCAATTTATTTTGGTCTTGTCTTCGAAGGTCATCATCTAAATCAATGATTTTTCTTTTTTCCATATCAAAAAACATCGTCAATTTGTATAATTCCAAAGAAAAAAGGTATAATGTACGACGTTTGTTTGTTTATTTGTATCAATAAAAATTTCTTCCTTACGTTTTCATTTAATTTATTCAATCAAATCAAGTTAAAATGAAACAATAATGTATCTGATGTCGATATTATATCGATTTTTTTTATATCAAATAACAATTACGCTAACGATCATAGATTTTCTTTCCATTATTTGTTTTCATCAAAATAGTCTTGCTTCCATTTAATGTTTGTTTGTTTGTTTGGATTTTAATTTCATTAATTTAGCCAAACTGTCATGCGAACAAATTTTTTTCGTTTCTTTAATATCATTATCGCAAGTGTCAACAGATGAATTTTGTCGTTGTTTTTTCATTTTATTATAGTCTATTTATCTTTTTTTTGCCCAAACAAAATTATTATTATTATTTCACAGAAGAATTATTTTTCCACTATAAAAATTGTGTGATTGATGTTTCAAGATCAGTGATCTTTAGCTCGTTTTTTTGTTATTCGGGTTCACTAATGAAATTTTTTTTCTTTTAGATTGAAAATTATATACAACGTTATTATCATTTTTTATGGCTTTCTATATATATAATCTGATCATTTGTTGGGTGGTGTATTACAAATGATACGATAATTTTTTATGTCAACACATTTTGTACATTTCGTAATATTAAACAAGTAAAGTAAAATGGACGAAAGAATGAAATTCATCATTCGAATCGTATTTGGTATATGATATTTTCACAAGTGTGAAGAACAAAAATCGTTGTTGTTGTTGTTGTACAATTCTCATTATTCCCATAATAAATTTCTTTCTTTTTTTGTTGTGTGAGTGTATTTTGTCAATGTCAAGCTAGTAAATAGAAAATGAATTTTGCTTTTCAAAAAAAAAAAACAAATAGAATTTGAAAATGAAATTCCCGGTTTTTTTTCGTTTGTTTGTTTGTTTGTACAAGTGTCATGAGATATCATACAACAAAAACAGGATAACAACCCCGAACAAAATCCAAATTAAAGCATTCCTTTTTCTGATTTTTTTTAAAAATCAAATCGATTTGAAAAATTTATACAATTCGGTACAAATGAAACCTTTGAAATTATCTTGTTTTTTTTTCTTTAATTTTGTCTGCTTTTTTTCTAATTTCCTAACCTGTTTTTTCTGTTTGTTTGTTTGAATTCATTCGATTTTCTATGAGTGACCTTAGACTTTTTTTTCTTGTTTATATTAACTTTTACTTTCAAGTAGCAATACTTTCAGAATATTGATGTTATTTTTTTTTGCAATTTTTTATTTCCAAAGAAATGAAAAAAAAATCCCATGCGAATTCATATTTTTTGCTGTTGATTCGATTATGATAATGAATAGAATGTTGATCTTTAATTTTTTTGCCAAATAAATAGGCAATGAAAAAAATTCCTCAAAATATTATCGGATGTTTAGACTTTTTTTCACAAAAAAAGAATTCTTCGAATGATTCTTCTGTATAATCGTTGTTATGTTGTTGTCATCAAATGTATATTCACTTTTTGCCAAAATTCCATAAAAATAGGCCAATACTCTTATGTTGCAATATGAATGTCAACGAATGTTGTCTTCACTGTAATACATTATTATTATTATTTTTGTTTTCACATTACAAATATATAAAAAATAATTATGATTATTAATTAATATTTTTTGTTTCCATTACAAATGCACCAATATTTCTTTTTTTCCCTTTATAGTTTTTTTTCTGGAAATTAAATCATTGACAACAACATCGAATCAGAATAAAAAAAAGAAGAAAATTTCACTAATAACCAAGCCCTTTTTTCTAAATGTCATAACTGGAATGTTGTTGTTGTTGTTACATCATCATCATTTATATGAGATTATATAAAGCCATAATCCATGTCTATCTGATTAATATGTTATTTTTTTCAGTGATGGAAGACACATATAGATAAAAATAAGATGTTGTTCGAATTGATGATTTCCTACTTTAGTTTTTGTTTGTTGTGACTGTTATTTTTTCTTCTTTTGGCACTATTTCAATTCTTACCAATCAATGAATGTCAATTGTTGTTGTCTAATATCAAACATTATTGAAAAGCCACCAAATCATTATTATTAACAATAAAGTTTTTTTTTTCTCTCGTTCACACAGAATATTCAGCATATTTCTTTGTTTGTCATGTTCAATGAATTTTGTGACAAATGATTATTCAATATGGCAATCCATCATCCATCATCATCATCATCTATATTAAGTTTGGAAATATTTTTATCGATAATAACATTTTCAATTATTAGTTTTATCCGAATCAAAACAATGTGAATGAAATCAGTTTATTTTTCATAGATTTTCGACAATGAAAACAATATCTCTTTTGGCGAATACAACAACAACAACTATGACTATTCCTACTACAGATTTAACGACAATCACTGCCATGATAATAATGGCCACTTCACAACAACAACAACAACAACAACAACAACAACAGCTCTACAATGAACAGCAAGTTTATGATCCATATCCGGATTTAACACAAATTTTCATCGTTCGATTTATATTCATATTTTGTTATGCTGTAATAATGATTAGTGCTGCATTAGGAAATTTATTAATCACTTATATTGTCATTTCAAATCGTAAAATGCGTACAACTGTCAATTATTATATTGTTAATTTAGCCTGTTGTGACATCTTAATTAGTGTTTTTGTTTTACCAACAAAAATGTTTGAATTACTTGCACCGGCTGAATGGTTAGCATTGAATGATACATGGTGTACAATAATGTCATTTTTACAATCGGTAATGGTATTTGCTAGCCTGCTTACATTGGTTGCAACATGTTTTGAAAGGTAATTTTTTTTTGTTGAAAAAAGTTATTATTTCAGTACAACAATCTCGAAAGAGGTAGTTCATTATAAATTGATTGGTTGATTATTGTTATTAGAATAAAATTTGTCAAAAATAAAACTTGATCGATAAAAATTAGTTTATTTTTTCATTTATTTCATAAGATCAATCCTATTAGTGTTTTTTTTTATTTTGCGAAACCGCATCAAAAACAAGTTGAAATAAATTGCAAAAGAAATAATCTTTTTTTTCTGCTGATGTTGTTGAAAAAAACCATCCATATAATCTGACAACATTACAGTTCAGGATATATTTAGATCAAATTATCAAAGAATGATGTTTTATCATTTTCATTATGATCATAAATCTGAAACGTAATCATCATTTTCAAGATGATTATTATACTATGATTTTATTTAGTTTAATTTAGATTACAACTCATCAATTTTCAAAGTTGACAACAGGAAAAAAAGTACTAATCAATATCTCCACAAAAAAAAGAAGAAGAAGAAGAAATGATTAATTTTGATATAAAGTTTTTTTTTTGCAAGCAAACCATTTTATGATCATTTCATATTAGATTTACAGATGGCCAGAATATTTTTTATGATGTGCCAATAAATGATTTATTATTTTTTTTTTTTTGATTTGTAATTTGCTTTCAAATCAATGATAATAATAATAAAAATAAAAAATAATTAGTTTTTTTCACATGAATATCGATAAAGATTGAATTGGTAAAAAAATCTGAACATTTTTTTTTGCTGATTGTTGATTCAATTTGGCTTTTTTTCATGTAAAATAATCCATTTAGTGAACAACAACAACAACTTTTATAATCTATGGAAACGTTGTAGTTTTGCAATGAAATAGAATTTCGTAATAATAAAAAAATAACCAAAGAAAATTCAGGTTTTTCCATTTTGATTAAAATGGAATTTGATTCATTTTTATTTTTTTTGGCTACATTATTAGTGAGGGCAAAAACAAAAAATATTGAAAATAATGAATTCACTTTATTTGATTTATGGTTTTTTTTTACTTTACAAATTTTTTGTTCATCAATCAATAATGTTTTTGTTTTCACTGGATTAACTTTTAAATTTTATGAAACTGTTTTTATTTTTTGTATTTACAGAATAATCCTTGATTAATGAATTTCTATTCTATTTTTGTATTAGGTATTTTGCTATTGTACATCCATTAAAAAGTCGTATGCAACAAAGTAAACGTCGTACATGTCGTATATTATTAGCCGTTTGGCTTTTGTCTTCCTTTGCTTCATTGCCTAATATTCTAAATGGTTCAATGGCTGTGATCAATATATTAAAAAGTGAATATGGAACCATTGCACGATTGACATGCATGTCAACATTTGATGATGAATTTCGTTTAATATATTTTACCATATTGTTCATCTGTCTTTATCTTATTCCATTGGCATTGATTGCATTTACCTGTTTTTGTATTGCTCGTGCCTTGCTACGTACATCTATATTACATCGACAAGGTAGTCTATTGAGACAAGAAGTTAATCGTAGAAAAGTATGTCATTAGGAAATTAAATATTATTAAGTGATATTTTTTTGTTTCAATGTGTAAATTTTGTTTTCTATAGGTAGGCAAAATGATTCTAGTTGTTGTCGTTTCATTTACTATTGCTTGGACACCATATTTTCTGATCAGTGTAATCACTCAATATCAAAAGGAAAATTATTTCGATAAACATGATTATTATTTCACAATGTTGAGTATAAATCTATTTGGTTTTCTTCATTCATCAATTAATCCAGTGATTTATCTGACAATGAGTGCTCGATTTCAAAAAGGTTTTATGCGTCTTTTAAGGATAGTTATGTGTTGTCAAAAATCAACAGAAAATGCTGGCCATACTTCAATACCTGATCCAGGTACTAGTTCACGTTATAGTCCAAATGGAAATATCAACAATATGCCATAATTTGATTGGGCAACATTTACTATATCGATTCGATTATCATTCATTCTGGTTGAATGGTGGGAAAAAAACTTTTTACTGGAATAATATTTTGACAGAAAAAAAAACTTAATTACGAAATATTGCGAAAGAATTTAAAATGGAAATCAACATTTGGTCAACATATTATCTGCATCATGCCAAAGTTTTTTATTTTAAGCAAATTAAAGCCTATATTTTTTCAGAAATATTAATAATTTAGTTGAAACATAAATTTAGAATCTAAAACTTACGATGAAAATCTTGAAGACGAAAACAAACCGAATATTTTACTGATTTTTTTTCATTGTCCATTTTATAATCGAAAATTTTTCCGAATAATGTTCCCGTGACAAATGCCATTGAGTGTGTTGTGTTTATATTTGTTTTCACGATAAATGAATTAAGACAACGTTTCAGGAAAAACAAACAAACAAATAAACAAATAATCCGCTTAAAAAGATATTATCGTTCAACTTGTTTCTCAATTTTATTAGACAACAACATATAACATAACAAAAAACAAGAAACTTTTTTTCAAATTATCAAATGTAATATAGATGTTCAAAAGAAAAATTCCGTTCATATGACGTGTATCCATGGATTCAATTTTTTTTTTCAAATGTAAGACATTATTACAAATGTTATAATAATAATATTATTATTATCCAAAATACTTTTGATCTTTTGTTAATGTCTTATTTCCGTTTCTTTTTTTTTGTAAAGATTCGAATCGATTCAGATCGTTTGCACGATAAGATGTTAAATACATTTTGAAAAAAAATAAGACATAATAATATTTACAGCTGTTTATGGAAAAAAGCTATAAATGATTTAAATTTGTCATTTATAAATCTGTATACAAAAACATATGATATCGATTATCTTCAGACAAAATAGTCAACTATTTTTGAATTTTTTTTTTCTGTTTCAATCATCTATTTTTTTTTGCTGTAAATAAATGATAACGAAAATATTTTTATATTAATCTTTAATAGCTTTATCTTTATTTTATGGAATATAATTTGATAACTACCGAAATTTTGCAACAAGCTGGATACATTGGTTATCTGTAATCATATGAATGTTATGTAACAATGCCGTTATAATTCCATTCGGCTGGCCAACATTTGTCATGAATCATGAAAAAAAACTGTGATTCTTAAAACGAATGGTGAGTTATCGAATAAATTCCAAAACTGTCTGGACTGTTTTATTCCACAGATTTTTATGATTTTTTTTTTAAATTTAAAACTGTTATTTACGATAAGTCAAATGAAAAAAAAAATTTATTTAATTTTCGAAAACATGTTTAAAAGATACAAGAATCTTAATAAATTTTCTTGTAGATACACATATATGATTGGCAATGTTGAATATAATAATATATGAATGAATGATAATGAATGTTGAAAATTTATAAATATGAAAATTTAAATTTAAGGAAATTAAAAAATGTATTTTTTTTTCTGTAAATAAATTGATTGGCAAGATAAATTCTAAAAGCTCCTTGGAAAGCAACAAGACCAAAGGCTACCATTACTGTTACGCATTCCACAACATTTTCCTCGACGATCCAGATCAATTTCTTCATAATCATAAGAATCATAATAATAAAAATCTTTCAGTTTTTCACTTTTAAGTTTTAATTTTTGTTTTTCTTGTTTGGATGAACACGCTGATAATGATGAGGTATTATTATGATGATGATGGTGACTTGATTGTGAATGATTACTCGTTCCTGATGATGATGATAATGATGATGCTAAACGTCGAAACATTGAACTTTTTCTATTACGTAATTCTGTTACACTAGTCGCCATAATTTGATGAAATAGATCCAACATTGATTTATTTGTATTTGATTGATCGTTTGTACGGAATAATTCATTTGATGAATGAATGGACGATGATGATGATGAGGATGAACACGATGAAGCCATCGAATGAGATGAAGCGGTTGAATTGGATTTAGATAATTTTTTCTTTTGTTCTCCTTTTTCTTTTGCTTTATCATTGATTTCTCGTTGTTTTTTCATCATTTTTACTGTATGAGATGGCAGAAAAAAGAATGATGATGATCGTAGTGTTGTTGCTAAATTGGTTTTTGGTGAATTCGTTGGTCGTTGTTGTTTTGATTGTTTCAATTCAGATTTACATAAATTAGGATTTAATTGATGAAAAATTGAACGATTATGTACGATAGGTGTGGATGGGGCAGAATTTTGGTGTTTTTGTTGTTGTTGCTGCTGCGGATGCTGTCTTGAAGAATGATTTGTTTGATAAATTGGAGCCGGTGATTGTGATCTTACTACAGCTGTAGGAACAACAGTTACTGTCGTACCATATGGTGTTATATATTTTGTCATAGCATAAGGATTGTTCAATAAATTTTGAGGTGATGACAATTTGTAACAATAATCTGGATGATATATCATTGGACTTGAAGGTGGTGTCATCAATATTGATGATGATGGTTGATAACCACTTGATGAGGAATGATTAGATTTATTGTTCGATCGTTTTTTATCTGTTACAAGAAGACTAGAATCATTTTTCATCAGAGCTCTGTCATTATCTTCAATTATTGTACGATTCTTTCGTGGAGAATTTGGTATTAGATTGTGATGATATGGAATATGACAATGAGAGGCAGTGATTTTTGTTGATTCCAAATCATATTGACAGTTTGATTGTAATTTGTCTGATTTTGAACTATTGGTTTTTTTCGATTTTGTTTTTGAATTCGATGATGATCGATTATTATCAACAACATTGTTTTTGTCATTCATGACATTAGATTTCGGAAATTTAGGCGAAGTTATCGGTGATGTCAATGGTGAGAACGTAGATAATTTGGCTGTAGTTACATTTGAAGAGAATATATTCGATGAAGCGATTGGATGATAGTATGGATGATATTCATAATAAGAATGTTCATCATCATCTTCATAATGGGAATGATTCTCGTGGTTAGCTTCAGCTTCAGATTTCAATGCTTCTTGTGCAGATAATTTCGTCAATGATTTCCGCCAACTTACTAATTTAGCATCAGATATTTGTGCCAATTTAGGAGGTGTTGATGGAAGAAAATGTCGATGACCATAATCCTGATAGATTGAATTTTTTTCATTTCTATGTGAACATCGAGATTCGCTAGGCATTCGTTTTGCTGAAAATGGCGATTTCGGAGAATCATTCAATGTATTTTTCGGATGATTGATAAATTCAGTACAATGATGATTCGGATGTTTATGACGTTGATTCTTTTGATATTCCAAACCAGCTAGAATGGCAGAATCAAATACTTCCTGTGAAAAAAAAATTAATGAAAAAAAGTTAAAAAACTAATGCTAAGAACATTTTGACAAACCTTTAAGTTTTTCTGGGTCAATGCCGAACATTCAATATAACAGATGGCGCCTAATTTTTTGGCCATACTTCGTGCATAATCCGATGAGATCGGTTCTTCGCCATTAGCATCTAATTCAATCAATACTTTGACATCATGTCGAAGATCGCATTGAGTTCCAATCAATATGAATGGTGGCATTGAACGTTGTTGTTGTTGATTATTGGATTTTGAATGATTGCCCATAAAAGTACGACGAATTTCGGGTAACCATTTTTGACGGATATTACGAAAAGAACGTGGAGATACAACCGAAAATGAAACCAAAAATACATCAGTGTGATTATAACATAATGGCCGAATCGAATCAAATTCATTCTATATCAACAACAAAAAAACGAAATGAGAAAAAATTATTAATTTTCTAGATTGAACAAAAGAAATCTTGTCTTAATTAATTCAATTAAAGAAATTGAAAAAAAAACAAAAAAGAAAAGAATCGTGTAAAGGTGTCAAAATTAACATTATTATTTTATAGAAATCATTCTACAAATATCCATGCACTTAACCTATATTTTGTTAATGATGGATATTCAATTTCGAAAAATGAATGGTGAAAAAAATTTCTCTGGTTTTTTTCAACAAAACAAGACTTAGCAATGTTTGTGATACAACTCGATTTCATGTATCCATAACAATAAATAAAATCTTTAAAATGGCCTGTTTTTTCCATTGGCTATATGTGTGTGTGTGTTTATTTATAAACCTAAACTCAAAGAAAAAAAAACTAATCAATACACCGATCATTGATGATGGCCACCATCATCAAACATCATTCCAACAACAACAAAAAAAAGGTATTTCCATTGGCTAATTTTCAGTCTTCAAGTCCATCATCATCATCATCATCATCATTGTTCAACAGTTTTGTTGATAGATTAAACCGGTCGACCGATCGATCGATCATACGGTCAATGAAGTAAATCAATCAATCGATTTTTTTTTCATCCATCATTTCTAGATGATGATGATGATGATGATGATCACTATACATAAAATCATATGATCATGTAACGTTCGTCATATATCATTATATAATGTTATTTTGCTAATAATACTCATTTGGTTGCCTCCACTCTTTTATATCATCAACCAACATTATGTTAATGATGATAATGATGATGATGATGATGATCAACATTAAGCTATTCTTCCGTTCAATACGATCGGAATATAAGATTACATAATGTTTTTTGGTTGTTCAATAGTACATAATTACAAACGAATCAACTTTACTTTATGTTTGACTTTGATCATCCAAAAATGACCGGTGTATGTAACGGTATGTTCGTTTGTGTGTGTGTGATGATATTAACAAGTTGTATTATGTTTGATCATCACGATGATAATGAAATTTGCCCTACAAAATTTTTTGCATTCAAGTTATTTAAACAGGTAAGAATGATATTTATAAATAAAATAATAATAATGATAATGAGACTGAATTCGTTTCGAATTTTCTTTTGGATAATTATACCTTTTATTATCATCATTGACAAGATATTGATAGCATCAATATTATTGATGACTAACGAAAAAAAAATCTGAAAATATGAAAAATCTGACATAACGAAACAAAAAAAAAATTTGCAAGCAAACACCCTTTGGGCAAGCATAACCAAAAGTTGCATTTTTTTAACATAAAGATTTCAGACAAAATTTACAAAAATTTAAGGTCGAATTGATAATAATCTTGATGATTGACATATGAAAATGATGACAATAATGGCGGCGTGAAAAAAAATCGATCATTGACATTTGTGAAAGCCGAAATAGAGATATTTGATAGATTTTTTTTCTTCTTCTTGTCGAAATCACTAATGATAACGGTAACTATAGTTTTATTTTCGTTTCGGTTGTTAATTGGATGAATTTTCGTAAAAAAAAGTACATGAAAATTCAATCAAAACAAGAGCGAAAAGCCGAAAAAAAACTGGAGCAGCAACAATTATTATAATTATTTCGGTGTTTGCATCGATAGAAATTTTACTAAACTATCATCATCATCTTTTATTAACTATAATGAAATTTGGAATCATTGATTTTGGCCATTCAGTTTTCATTTCAAACAACAGGGGAAAAACCTTTTACAAAAAAAATGAACAATAACAATAATGATGATCAATGTTAATTGATCAGAATAAAAATAATCCAGATGTTCACTAGGATCGGTCACCTGTTATTTATTATATTACACCTGTTATCCTGTTGAAAAAAAAAACAAAAATTAACAAATAAATTTTCAATTTTTAAATATTCGTTCGAAAAATTATTGCATTTTCAAACACGTGATCATGATATGAAAAAAAAGGAATATGAATATATTGAATTAACCAATCAATATCGTCAATATTTGGAACTAGGTTAAAAACCTCCTTTTTTGGATTTTGTTTTGGAGAAAAAACAATTAATAGCTTATCATCATCATCAATATTATTGTTATATGGATGATCTTTTCTCAATCATTCCCGTTTGTTTTGTTTTGTTTTTTCTGAAGAGATGATGATATATCTTTTTTGATGAAACAAAAATAACAAGAACAAAAACGATTAAATCCTTCGACAAAGGTAATAACATCCGACTATTGTCGAAGGTATGTCATAATTGAAAAATAACGAAACATGAACCAATCACGAATGAAATGAAATCAACAACAACAACAAAAAACTAGAGTTTTTAAGGGGAAAAAATCAATCCATTTTTTTTTTGTTCGGGAATATAATCCTTATTAGATTCATGGATCATTTGATAAGATGTGGGCGTTTGATGATTATCAGTTAATAATTATTTTTTTCAAAAAAAAACGTGAAAAGAAGAGGTGGTGTGTTTCTTTTTTTTTTCATTTTTCCTATCGAACGATCATCATTCCATCATTGTCAGCAATGTTGTTGTTGTTGTTTTTTTGTTGTATGAACTGTTTCGTTCTCACGATTTACTTTTTTTTTCATCTTTTTAACATTTTCTTTCGTTCCTCACATATCTAATCATTTATTCTGATAGTGTGTGTGTGTCTAAAGGATTTAACACCACTGGAAACGATTTTTTTATTTTCTTTCGTCTTACACTTTAGAACAAAAAAACTAGAGAAGGATAATCACTAGCTTTGGATCGAATTGAGATGAAGAAAACAGAAAAAATTTCCACAACAAAATTCTAGGTTGTGAATTTCTTCGCTGTAATCTTTTTTCATTGTAATTTTTTTTTCTAATAATAAATCCTTGAAAAATGAACTTTATCATATCCGTTTTTCTATCGCCATTACCATATCCATGATGATCATCATCAACAACAAGTTCAAATTTTGACCTTTGACCAAAAGCTATAGAGTCTGTTTATGTATATTGATCATTACAAATAATGGATAGCATGACCGAACCGACTTTTACATCATTTGTTTATCCCGGGTGTACAGTATTCAAAAATATCGAAACATATTTATATTCAATGAAAGCAATGGTAAGAGACAAACAAACAGGATGTTTCCATTCAAAAATTTATATTTAGCTTGATGCTTATAAGCTTCTTTTCTTTAGAATTATGAAGGCTTAATTGGCCATATTTTTTTCAATTTTATTGCATTTTTTATTTTGTTCAAAAAAAACCAAGTTAAAGGTTTAACCTTGACAGTAATGACCATGGTGATTTTGTTTACGATCGGTGATCATGTGATATAATAATAACAACAAAATTCAATGAAATAAAAGAATATTTAATCTACCGTTTGCATCAAATTATTTATAGATGGATGATTACAATTTAAAGTTTTTTTCTTTTTTCTATATCTGGTTACTAAATTATTATCCAGATATATTAATTATTGTATTTTCAGAAGAGAAGAACAATATGAATATTGCAAATGTTTGTGAATGGGAAATTTGGAAAAAAAATATTTTCATTCGATTTCTATATTTGCATTTTTTTCTCCTAAACAATAAGGTCATAAATTTTACGAAAAATCCTAAAATTTGAAAGTGCAAGTTTTACCAGGTAAAATATTCATTCATAAACGTACCCGACACAAACACACAAAATTCACTGATCTGACAAATACAATTAATTTTTATCTTTACTTCAAATTTTTTTTTTTGGTTCGGTTCATTTAATGGCTACTAACGAAATACAAATCAAAATACAAAAAAATGGCTTCGCTTTTTTTTTGCTGTTATTGTTGTTGAATTGATGCTATTGTTACGAATGTAAAATGCATCATCAAAAATCAACTGGCGACCGTCAACTCAATTCAACATAATTTTAGCCATAAAAAAATGTCATACAATAAAATTATGGAAAGATAATTAAATGACTGTTTAAATAATAAGTAGGAATAAAATGAAGAACAACACAATTCAAAAGAATTGACACGAATTTGCAAGGTAAAAGTGCAAAACTATTTTATATTGAACAGAAAAAAACAAGTTTGACAACGTGGATAAATATTTTTTTTGGAAAAAAAAGTAAACTTGTTCTTTCATTCCAATGGCCAAAAGATATTTGCTTTTTTTTTTGTTAAACAGACCTTTAAATATAGTGTACTATGACCTTTGATGGGTTTGTTTTGCTTGAATAAAGATAAGGTCAAAGTACACTATGTTCTCACTCTCACTCGGCGGTAAAAAAATGCAAACCAAACATTTTATCAAGGTAACTTGAACTTTGATTTATATGTTACCTTTATATACTTTGACTATTTGAATATGAATTAAGAGATTTAGAAAAAAATATTCACAATGTTTGTTTGCGTGTTTATCGTGCTTAGATAATCATTTTATGGCCATATCTTATACAGATAAAAATGCAAAATTATTGTCGAACTACCTTGAGCAAAGTCAAAAAATTTGTTTAATTTCTTCCATTTTGACAAATGATTTTGCTCCCGTCGTTCAGCTAATGATGGATAGAGGAACAGAAAAAATCCCGTAAATTTTATTAACCATAAATTTAAGAAAAATTTCTGACAGACAGTTAAATTAAGTCAAATTAGTTAGTGAAAAAATAAATGTACAGATTCTTTAAATAAGGCAAAGCTAAATAATAAACAAACAAACAAACAAAAAACTTACTTGGCCGGCAGTATCACAAAGTTGTAGTTGACATGGTTTGTTGTCGATCGTGACCAACACTAAAAAACAAGAGAGAAAAAAGAAAAAGAAATTCAACATCAGATAAGAATAATAACAATCAAATGAAAAAAAAAACAACAACAAAGATAATTGGATATTAGGATGGTGGTTAAAAATTACGTAATTATTTGAATTTTTTTTGTTCACAATAAATAGTTATGACATGAAGAATCACCATCATTATCAAACAGACAGACAAACAAACAAACAAAGATAATTATTTAGGAATACAGAAAAATAAACAGAATCCAACCAAACAAAAACAAACAACCTGTATAACATAATGTTGTTGGAAAAAATATGATGATGTTTTTTCTTTCAGTTAATTATTATTCCATCAAATATTTCTGATGGTGTACATACCGATTTCCTGATCATTTCATCATCATTATTAACATTTGTATAGTCATTGAACCGAATAACAAAATAGATCATCATCGAAAAAAAATATTGACCTTCATTCATACAACAACAGAAATTCATTTGGACATTGGACATTAATGATAGTGACGACCCTACAATAAGAATATCATCATTAGCGTTATTATAGACGACAACAATCAACAATAATGAAATATATTAGTTGACGAAATAACTATATGACCTATCAACCCTTTTCGATGTCTGTGGGATGTTTTATCGAGGACATTAATAATCATAAGCTATAGGAAGAAACAAACTCTCTCAAGAAAAGAAAAGAAAAAATCTCTCATATAAACACACATCTATTCATCGATCTTATTCTCATCATCATCATCATCATTATCATCAACATCGACATTGGTAGAAGAAAAAAACCCAGCAAGACATACGGAAATTTAGATCATTATAAATGGATGATGATGACAAAGATCACATTATCTATTTACTATATAGTCAAAGCCGGTTATATAATAATGTTTCGGTATTTATTGTTATTGTATTGATGTATGTTGAAAAGTTGATTCATTTGAAAATGCAAACAAAATTTTAATGATGACGATGACGATGATAATCCATTCATCATTATCAAAAAGGAAAAGTTTGGCTTGAATAGATCGAATGAATGAATGAATGAATGATGAGCAAAACAATGATTGTTTAAAGTAAAAAAAAATGTGGTGAAATTGGATCTTTTCGATTGTTATTTGGGTTTAGTTGTTGTTGTTTTTTCTCTATCTAGAATGTTTATATATGAATATTTTATTGAGAGTAATAAATCTTCAATCTAATAAAAGATAACCAATTGTGTATGATTGTGCCAAAACAAAGAATCATTTCACATCACATTTTTTCCCAATGTTAATTTTTCATATAACAAAACGAATGCGGAAGACATGCATGCAAAAAAAAAACACAAACAAACAAACAAACAAACAAATACAGATAGAATATAAACCAATGATGATTGGCATAAAGTCAAAATCATCATCATCTGAATCATCTGAACTCGACTCTGATCTATTGTCATTGTGCGTTAGACAAAATGAACAATTATGACAATCAGGTAATCAGTAAATGTTATAGATTTGTTTGATTATTATAATCATTAAATGATAATTCATCATCAATGTTTATCAAAAAGAAAAACATGATGATGATGATGATTCAAATAATAAAATAAACCGTTACGCTATTATCATCATACATAGTCGGTCACGAATTGGATCAGGAATCTTGTCGATCAATCATAATCACATAACTAATTCGATTGATAAAGGCCAAGAAAATTAAGGATTAAAATTAATGTTTGTTCATCATCTTTGTGATGATCGAAAAACAAAAAGGGGTTGATTAAATACTAGTTTGTTTTTGAATTTCAGGAAAACCAGCAATATTCTCATATGAATTCATTGATGATCATGATGATAATAATGTCTGTTTGAAATATCTTGAGACATTTTGTTTTCCTTATAATTGCCCGTTTTGCCCCCTCCTTGTTGATGGTTACAGTTAATGATAAAACTAATTGATTATTATAATCATTAAAGATTCATATCATTTGTTATTATCATCTTCATTTCTTAAGAGTTTTTTTGTTCAAAAACAATAATCATGTTTGGTAACAACTGGAACAAATAACCAAACAAACAAACAAAAAGAAAACCAGACTAATCTGATTTGGCAATCATAATCATTACTTGAAATGTAGATTTCATTTTTATTTTTATTTTTAAACAATGACAATGATGATCGAATGGCCAAAATTCACAAGTCTATCAAGATAAACCAGACAAACATACTAGACAATGAACTGGTGATAATTGACAGGTGCTGGTTACGATGTTAATGAAGAAGAAGAAGACAATTCGTTAGGGAAAAAAATCAAGGATAGTCTGTTATCATCAAAAAAAAAGAGTTCTCAGTAGTTAATAAAGTAGGAAGAAAATTCTTGCGTGTGTGTGTGTGTATGTCTGAAAGATCATAATCAGTAAAAAAAAGAAGAAGAAAATATTCACTTGAACACCATAATCATTGAGATTCTTTTTTTTCAAAATGAAAATATTTTTTTTTGGAAAATTAAGATGGCAAATGAAGGAAGTAAAAAAAACATTATTCGAATGACCAGTGGTTAATTTTTTTTTGTTGAAATGTAAAAAAAACCAGTTTGATTTGAATTACGTTGATGATTTTTGCTATTAATTTTCCAATTAGTAATTATGATAAATATCAGTGATTGGAAGTTTTTTTTTGAAAATGATATTGTTGATAGCCAAGAAATTATATCAAATTCATCTGGTAGAATGTTTTGTTGGGTAATTTAATGATCTCATTGATTAATCAATAAAGATAGTGATCATAATGATTAACGATAATCGAATCATCATCTCATTAATATTCATCCAATACGTAAAAAACAGTGTGAAAAACATATAAAGAATTTTAATTTCACATTTCCGTATTCAGAATGAGAAATAGAAAAATACATCCTGGCCAGAAGGATGCCATGACCAAAGAAAAAAAAACCACAAATGTTAACCATTCTCGAAAAATAGATTCCCATCATTAGTGATTGAATCTTGACAATGTTGTATAATTTAATCAAATATATACAAAAGAATAGCCAATGTCTAATGAAATGTAAAATCTCATCATTTTCATTCAAATGATAAAGATCAAGGTTAAAAAAAATTGACATTAACTTTTTAAAAACATAATGTTAAATAAAAGAATCCGATACAAATCCTATTGAAATAATAGTCGTGACAATAACTTAAAAAACATTATGATGATGGTGGTGGTGGTAGTACCATTTGTTGCCCATTTTCTTCTATATGACATCAATATTTAAATAGTTAAAATCTGGTAAATAATAAAAATGAAGATTTCTTTCACAATAACCTCGATTTGTTTTTCGGTTATGATGTCGGTTCAATAGTATTTAGCAGAACAACAGCAAAAATTCATCCGAAAACTAAAAATTTTACCAAATGCCCAGCATGTATAAATCGAATGACATCTCTGTGTGTGAAAAGAATGTTTTTATTTTATTTTTTCGATCTTATCTTATTAATGATGATTGACAAGATTGTACAGGTGACCCAATCAAACACACACATACCAGAAGAATGACCATTCTGAAAAAATGAATTCTAATAAAATCATACAGGATTCAGATGAATTTGAAAAGTTCGATGATCGTATAGGTCAATAGAGAATGATAGAAGAAAAATCAAAAATCAATCAAACGCACCAATAAACACATAGATACAGACAGACACACAAAGATTCAGGAAACATTGAATAGACAAAGAACAAAAAAAAATCAAGTCTTTTGATTTTGTAAGCTGTATGAGAAAAAGAAATCTAAGGAGAAATCTATGTAGAAGGCAAACAACCTATGAATATTTTTCAATCAACGGTCAATGGCCAACATTATTTAAAAAAATATATAGAACTCTCCCACAAAAGTTTCTGTTCTATAAATCGGATGTATTATTTTATTTTTGTTATTGAAATCAATAAAATAATGACTCATCAAATCTTTTGGATTATTCAATAAGACAATTCAATAACGATAATAAAATTAATATTCATTAGCGAAAGAAAGAAAGAAAATTTCAAGGTAAAAATAAGTAAAAATTGAATACAATCAATAATAATAATAATGATGTAACTGAACAAAGAAAAAAATCCTGAAAGTTTTTTTTTAATAAATCCGATAAAATTTTCTCAGATTAATTGATGATCGGTAATAAAAACAGGAATGTCATTCATGTTTCGGACAATACATTCTTTACTTTACAAGATTTATGGCTTAAAAGTGAAGCTGTTTCGTTTTCTCGCATACACACAAATACAGGTAAACTAAAATCATTAAAAACGATAAAATAATCTTTGATTCAATAAAAGTAATTTATTAACGTAATAAAATAGAAAAAAACAAGAGACATTTTTATTTGTATTTGAACGACATCGAAACATTTCCTGTTGAAAGACAGAATCATTCTAGCCAAATTAACCCAACCGTCAAAATGGGTGGAGTATTTGATCGTTTGGGACAAATTTAATCATTTTCAATTGCTAATGCAAATTGATAAGATGAAAAATAAACGTTGACTTTCGCTTACATTGATGTTTTGTAATTTTGAAAAAAGAAAATTTGAAGGAAAAAAATCAATCAATCAATCAATCAAGGCATTCAGGCCACACGTGAAGGCGTAAAGTGCATCCCAACATTATGAATATAAATTCAAATCAAATATTCATTCTTCAACAGTAGAGTAAAATGTCCAATAACAAAATTGTGAATGTTTTTCAAATGTCCATCATTATTTTCAATAATTTTTCATTTCTATTTTGAATGATTTGTTATCATTATAATTATCATCATCATCATTATTACAAAAAAACTCTAATGATGAATGATGTTTGGTCATCAAGATTAACGACAACAAATTTCCTTTTGGCCAATCTCGATGGTCATCAACAATTGGAAAAAAAATTTTCTCTTTGGAAAAAATTTCTTATCAGCTTGAGACCATCATCATTTTGGTAACACACAATGATAAAATTGTTG